TGATATCTTCAAACCAGCTGCATACAAACGGCTGTTCACCGGAATCCAATCAGCCATCGATGGCTCGACTTTGGAGCTTAGAATAATACCTACCCCAGCTTGACCCGTGAGTGCCGCATCGGCGTCTTCGGATACGTCCAACCAATAGCGAGAGGACATCCTGGGCGCAATTAATTCAACAGCCCCATTAGACTTATTGATTCTAGTTTCGGACTGACACTGCGTTTATACCCAGTATGTCAAACGTACCGGTGAGTACGGCCTGTTTGTCTTGGAGTGTGAATGTTGAACGCCACCAGGGAACCGGGGAGCGTGGCCTTATAAGGGACTGTTAACGATCGACATTCGATGGGTGTTGTGGGAAAGTGGCTACAAATGGTTCTACTCTAGTGTCACTTCGGTTGCTGTCAATAAAACTGTGAATTATAGAAGAAAGGTTAGTAGTGGTGGTCATGATGGCAGTAAGAGAAACAGATTGCAAAGAAAGTAGGGAGGCACCAGCGGTAGCATGTTTTCGCTTATCCGCCCTGTTGTATGTAGCAGCAAGGCAACCCTTGATAATCTGCGCAACGGCCGATGCAGGATGTAGTTAGAGTTTTAGGAAATTGTCATGGTTGTATGTAGGCTGAGATACTGCCAGGGCGCTCAGACCTAGACAGGAGAACGATTAGGGTCCTCAACCAAAGCCTTTGACTCAAAAGCCTATCCGTAAGGTAGCGGGAGGTTAACAATGTTTTAGTTTTACAGAAGTGGATGCCATCCCATTTCAAACTCCTAATCTGGAGAAGCAGGAGACTGAGTTCTTCAGATCTCTAGCCATTGATCGACCTAGTAGGAGTTAATCTCAGGGTGCCCGGATGCACCACCCAGTATAGCTCAATGGGTCGAGGACGTACGCAAACCGTCGCACCACGTTAAGGTCCAGTCTCGTTGCTGCATTGTACACTACCCTTCAGGTAGAGAGTGATGCCGCGCCGGCGGCATACGTGGCGAAGGTCAGCAAAAGCGCCTCGGGCTTTTGCTATACGGTTCGTGGTCTCATCTCAAGGGCGCTGATACAACTTCCCGGGTAGTTGAATTTCTGAACAACTTCCAGCTGATTACCACCAAAATTCAACGTAGGAGGTGGTCGCTGCCAATTTCGGTGGAAAGCTTTACACTTCGGGAGTGTAAAGGATGGCCCGTAATGGCTGACAGCCAGCGCTACTCTGTCCAGTGCCTCTTGGCACGTTTGTGAGCTGTCACAGTTGATAGCAATATCGTCAGCACCTTCCAAGTCAAGAAGTCGTTCGCGTGGGAGTACCTCCACACCTTCTAAGTTGTGTCCTGTGAACGCGAACTCCGTGACTTCGTCAATGGCGTAGTTGAAGAGGAAAGGAGACAGCGGACATCCTTATCACACATCCCTGGAGATAGTGAAGGGCGGCGACGGCTTACCGTAAGCCCTCACTCTGCCCGTGCTACACGCGTTTAATCCTCGGATAATGTTTACCTATTTCTCAAATACACCTTTCCTGTGTACAAATATGGTGCCATCGGAACCATTGCAGAATAGGAAAACGGGACTAGAGTAAAAGAAGCACGACAACAAACAAATTTTTGTTCATTTTCCCCACTCACAGGTTTGCGTTTTTTTGATGTTTTCGATATCGAGAAACACAGCTACGGTGGGCCACCAATAAATATGACAGTGCTTTAACAGTTGACGTAAGAATGGGGTCGATGCAGCCTCGATCTAGACGAAACCTAGCTTGCTCTTCACGAATATGGCTTTCACGAGCGCCACTTAGTCTGTGGAAAACGACAGACGCAAGCAATTTGAGATCAGACTGATTCCTCTATGGTTATCGCATTTCGATGGTGAGCCTCCCTAGAATATTGAAACTGTAAGGGAGTGGCTCCAGTCGGTTGGGACAGTTTCCTGTTCCCACAGTTTCACTTGTAACTCTTTTAAATCATCAACAAGAGCAATGCGCCTGGTTTTGAAGAGGGCTGGAGGAAGATCATCTGGTCCCGCAGCTTTATTCAACTTCAACTGTCCGATCTCACGTTGGACTTTCGAGGAGTGGGCGAATCCAACGGGACAGCTCCTTGAGCAAGGCGATCAATGGCCGGCGAAGAATCGAACAATTCCGACCGATTAAATTGTTCTTCAAAGGGCTCAGCCTAACGCTTCAAGCGTTTTAACAAGTTATGGATAGGCTGTCCACTCTCGTCACGTATAATTTCAATAACACCATATCTCCTGCTGCCCGTTTCCCGTATCAGACGGAATCGCTTTCGATGGTTACTAAGGGCAGCGGCCGCTTCCTTCTCTGACGCAGGATGAGCCCACCAGGATTTCGGTCTTTCTTTAGGCTAGCACGTAGTTCTGCTCTTGAGTTTTTGCGGGTCTCGTTGTGTGCCCGCGCGCATCCATAATTCCCAGACTGCGAAGAGACCCAATGTCCATGTTGGCTATTAGACTTGCCACATGAGCTTTTGCCTGCTTCTAGTTTCATGGACAAAATCCATGATTCCACTTTTAATTAATTTTTCGTGTAATCTAACGATGACGGGAGTATGATGGATAAGTCGATAATTAGCGACGAGGGACAATAGACGATGTTTTTCACTGATTCGGAAATTAGCTAGATTCTAACAAGGCGAACATGTTCCACAGAAGCAGTGGTATGTGGTGGTCCACCGAGCTTAGTAACTGATGGGGGGATGCCATCGGAATCTGATTTGAGCGATGGTTTGATGGACTTCATAGCCTCTTGGATGGTCGTCATCATATACTGTTTGAGTCTGATGCGAATGACCGAAAAGAATTCTTTACTCAGAATCTGCCCCCTTTAATTCATTCTATTAAATGGCAATTTTCGGGTTGCTGAAGATGAGCATCCTCCGTGATTCAGTCAATGTCGATGTGCATGTTTATCGGATGCTCCGTCATCATGCTCCGGGATATTCTCTTCCTTTCCATGTTCCTCTTTGTGCTAGGACCTCTATGTTGTTCCAATCGAAGCGATGTCCTTCTTCGTCCGTATGTAATGAAACCAAGGAGAGAGCGTAATGGTTCTTACTAGCTTTTATGCTCTTGTATTCCTGTTGGCAGTCGCCTTCCTGTCTGACCCACATAGTTCTTGTCGCAATCTTAACACTTGATCTTGTAAACATTTCGTCTTTTGTGGACTCCAGCTCTAGCTTTTGGTTTCGACGGGGTTCTACTCAAAGTGGCAGTTGGTTTGTGAGCCAATGTAACCTTATCGTCATCTCGGAGATGTTCTTTACATAAGGTAAAACGATTCTCTTTGTTATCGCTTTAGCAGGCTGAGAGGTCGTAGCTTTGTTGTTTAGACATCTCGTATATCCATTTAGGTGAAACGATCTAACATATATTTCTCTTCTTTCCGCTTTGCCTCAAGAGTGCTGCTATATATTTCAATTCCACGAAAGAGTTCGCACGCAGCTTATTTTGTCACATTTTAGTATCTTGTTGCTCTGTGTTCCTTTCCTGTAGACCGCTGTTTGCGACTCTCCGTCATTCGTTCTGGTGACTAACACATCTAAGAATTGGAGCTGGGTTTCCATCTTCGATTCTATCATAAAAGCATATCTTAAATGGTTGTACAAATGCGAGAAAACAATCGAAAGGCTGATGACGGAAAATCTTTGCAAGCTATTTGACCACTGCCTCGCGACCTACTTCAATTTTGATGGACAGGTTTGTGAGCAGACGAAAGAAGCAGCGATACAATCCCCTGTGTCAAGGCTCGTTGCAGATATCGTAATGCAGAAACTTGAAGAGAATGTTCTACCCATAGTCAACCCAGAGTTGTGGATCCGATACGTCGATGATACATACGTGATACTGAAACGTAGTCAAGTAGAGGTTGTATATCAGTTGCCCAATAACGCCATTGAATTGCGCCCATTGGGAGCCGGCAACTGATTGCTCATCTCATATGCCTAGTTTGGTCGGTTGATAAAGGCGGACCCAATTCTCTCCAGAAGTTCAGCATTACCTTGATGGAACACAGAGGGAAGCAAGGGGCAGTGACTTTATTTAGTGGCGAGTCACATCCACCACGTTGCAGTATTACTAAATGGACACATGCAACTTTATTAGGAGAATGCATTACCCACACCACATATCTAGTGTAAACTCGAAGGAATAAGACCGGGAGGCATGTGGATGAGAGCCACGTCTCATCAGCGGAGCAGGTTCACACTCCAACATTCACAACAGCAGCATTCCTGTCCATCTAATTCACAAATCATGTGTACCAGACGTACACAAGGTGGTGAGCCGTAGATTACTTTACACTGAGCACTTTACAGTTTGAACACATCAAGGTAATGAGGAAGACGCACCTCGTCTCCCTTAACAACGACCAACTGTCTCCTGGAGACAGTATAACCGAAGTAGCGGTTTTCTTCAGTTAGGCGCCTTGTCAACATTCACATCAAGCGCAACCACACTAGGGTTATCAAACAGCAAACACATCATATGAAGAAAAAATAAACACGCAAACTGGATAGTAGATGTGCGATAGTAAACGAGAAAAGAGCAAACGCCAAATACTATTCAGTGAATCTGATCTAGTGTAAAGGTGATCTGGTGAAAGTGTAAGTCTGGGGATTTCTCAAGGGACGAAAACGACAGGGAAAGAGCGCAAAATAAATAGGATATACGAAGGAATAACAGAACTGATCAACTAAAAATAATGAATTAGAACAGAACAAACCTTAGTGCAAGCAACCGTAACCCAGGTGCAGTGAAAATGCACAATAAATGCAACCACAACCAAAGCATAAGGCACAACACATTCACATCTACATACACCTATACATCCATAGATCCAATTTCGTGGCAGACGTGTACATCTTCCCTATCACTCCTTGTGCCCTTACCATGAACACGTCTGCGCATACGTGCCTCGCGTTGTGGAGAACAAAGTTATTTATTTATATTTCCATGATTGTTCATTGTTCGATTGCCTCATTGTTCACAGAATTCGGTCGCTCGTGTACACAAATCCGGTCTTCTTGGGCTAACCATTATGGGAAATCCTGGTGAGTCGCACTATTTATTTTACTCCGAACGATTCTGAACCTACACCCACAGAGAAGTATATAAAACCGGATCACCACTTGTCGGGTTTTCTGCGCCAGCTAGTTTCAAACGGACGAAAGCTGTTTGTGATCTCGAACAATTCCGCCTCCTTTATGTGAGTCTTTATTTATTAGTGTCTTAGAGATTACGTTTCTTCCGTAAACATTACACTTCCTCACCCATGTTTCTGTTTCCTAGTGATCGTGGTCTCCGCTTCCTAATCGGTGACGATTGGCGACTTCTGTTTGACGTCATCATTTCCAGCGCAAAGAAGCCCAGTTTCTTCCAGCACGACACCAGGTCTGTCATTTTCTCCTCTTTTCGGTTTAATTTTGCCGATACTTATTCGTAGTGTTAAATCCTCCTTATGCATCCTCCGTGGAATCGTTTCCAATCACACATGTTACTCCAACCAGGTGATGGCCGATTGTTTGTCCAGTGTGCCGATATCACAATTGCGCTGATTGGTTCACGGCGCTACCTGTTCGATTGTAAATTCCACGAGATGGATATGTTCTACTCGCCTCTCATTAAAGCTTACCGTACTGCTCGTTAGATAATCCGCTATGATCAAGGTGCTGAATCGCAGTACGTTCAACTGCTGAGATTTACGCCCTCGTAACAGCGATTGCGAGCTGGGGGGGGGAGTATACAGATAGGAGAACGTTCACAAAAAACAAGGGAAAAGTGTATACTCCCCCGGTCGAACAGTCATAAAGCATTGACCAGTGGTTCTCAACCTGGGAGTAATTGCCCCCAAAGGCGGTCAAGTGGAATTTTGCTGGAGTAGATAAAAGTGCGGGGATTGCCAAACAAAATTAATAGCAAAATCATTTGTATCAAAGCATGTAACTGACCACTAACTCATCATTGATTAGCCAGTTAGTGACTAATCACTGACATGTGGTCAGTGAATTAGACAGTTCCCGGTAATACATTTTACAACTTAAAATATGCACGGTTGGCGGCATCCGGTTCCGGATTTGCCTGTCACTGTGGCCAGCCACAGGACGCCTGCGCCTACAGAGGGACTATGGGTGGCTTGCGCTGCACCACCCATAGCTCCATCGACACACCCCATATCTAGTGTAAACCCGAAGGATTAAGACCGGGAGGCATGCGGATGCGAGCTACGTTTCATCAACGGAGCCGGCCCACACTCCTTCGCAGCAAACACAAACACGCTGTATTTGGAGAATCAATTGCACACAAGGCGGTGGCTGGATCGTAGTCCGTTCTACACTGAGTGCATGGAGCCACTCTTCGAACCTAGCACGGCTACAAAGACCGTGCACCCCGTCCCCTCCAGCAACGACCAACTGTCTCCTGGAGCCAGTATGAACGATGTAGTGGGTAATAGACAGGTAGGCACCTTGTCAACATGCACATCAAGCGCAGCCACACCGATGATGTCAAGCTACAGCCAATCACATGAAAAGAATAACCAATAAAACAGGTCGAAAACACCACACGGATATGTCGCTAAATTAGCACATGATATAAATGGATTATCAACATAGCCGCAATAAATTGAAGATGGTAGATAAACAGATCGAGAAACATATACAAAATGGAGAAAAAAGAATCAAGCACCCTTCGTTTAAAAGATGTTTGCAATTTATTAGTTTATTCAGACAAGGTAAAAAAAGCATGAATACGAGATAGCAAACCCACCACCTGAAATAAAGAGATTCAGCACGCCGTTAGTAAATCGAATGCAGCGTACCTACAAACGATGCGCCGGTTCTGCTTACATTCTCTGCAACACGCATCGTATCGATGCCGGTCCCAAGTCCCCTCGCTCTCGGCTGAATGGACCTGCTTGACTCAGGTACTCGTGACCGCATCTGCTACAGCACCATGCACTCGATGTCAATAGAGTACACTCCATCGGCGCCTGCCGCTTCCCTACTTGCCGCTTCTTCTCTGCATGCACGAGGGCTTTCTCTTGCACCTCGACAACTACCCTCATGATCAGGTAGCGCCATGTACGCCGATCAAATGCCTTCGATTCCAAAACACTTGTAACCAACAGCAGAACGTGATAAGCTCATTTAGATCATGTCCTGGTAACGAAGCTTCGGTTTTTCCCCATGCCGTTTCTCTGCACTCAGTTGGCCATACAGCAGCTGTTTCGACATCCGTGTCGAATCCATACGCCACACACGACTGAGCCACCTCAAGTGTCTCAGCAGAAGTATGCAATCCACTTCGGCACAACACTTTCGTGTCTGAAACTCTGTCGCACCGACTGATGCGCAGAATCCGTCACAGACACTGTTGATAAAACCGCTCGAGATATCTCACACCTCGCCGCTACGTCGTCCACGTTTCGATTCCGTATAGAAGAACGGACTGCACCATGAATTTGTACACCATCAGCTTCGTGCCAATGGTAAGCTGATGGTTGTTCCACACTCGGTACTCCAGCTTCCCATATGTCGCCTCTGTCTTCGATACTCGGATACGCAGCTCACTGTGTATCTGTTGGTCAGTCGACACCACCACACTCCCAAGGCAGCAGAAGCGGGAGGTGGTTTTCAATACGTCATCACCAAAGCTGATTTGGGGCAATATTGTAGATGGCACCTCCGCTGAAGGCTGAAAGAGATAGACAGTTTTGCTTGCGTTGATGGTGAGCTCGAATTTGGCCGCAGTCGAAGCCAGAGCACTAGTCGTGTGCTGCAACTCATCCGCGCTGTGTACAAACAACACAGTCGTCAGCAACCAGCAATATACGGATAGTTGTCTCACAGACTATTGTTCTCGCATCGAAACGACGGATGTTCAGCAACCCACCATCAATACGGTGCTCCACACGAACACCGCAAGCACAAGCCGCATCAAAAGCGCAAGACATCATTGCATGAAGATATATATTGAACAGAGCAGGAGCTAAGATACAACCTTGCTTCACACCAGAGATAACTGCAAAGTCATCCGAGGTCTCTTCACTCATCTGCTCCATCACCCGCATACCACTGTGCTGATATTCACTTAAAATTACAAACTTACGCGGGCAGCCAAACTTACCCAACAGCAGCCACAATGCCTCGCGGTTTACCGTATCCAATGCTTTTGTGAACTCAACAAACAGGGAGTACCACGGGTTGGTTTCGTTCTCTGCGTTTATCCTGGAACTGACGAGCAGCAAACACCGTATTTATAGTGCTGCGACCCGAACGTAATCCACACTGCTCTTCCGCCACGTTAGGTTCCACAACCTGACTGACGAGGCGGTTGAGCAGGATTCGGGCAATCACCTTGCCCACACAACTCGGCAAGTTGATACCACGATACTTCGTGCAACATTGCTTGCTCCCTTTGCCCTTGTATAGTGGTAGCGCAATGGTATTCTTCAGCTCAGGAGACATCTCCTCAATCCACACGCGTTTCGCCAAGTGATGCAGCGCAGTCACCAACGCAGGTCTGCCGTGTTTCCATACTTCAGGCGGAATCCCGTCGGCACCGGTACATTTGCCGTTTCGCAGCTGAGCAAGTGCTCTCTGCGTCTCACCCAGTGTGCGCCGGACTCGTCTTCACATCTTGCTGCTTAAGGCCGTTCAACGTAGGCCACTAAGTCTTTGACTGTTCAAGAGACAGCCAGATCTACATTATGTCTGCAGTCTGTGTGCAGGTAGCGCCTGAAATACCATCGATCAGCGTCCTCAGCGGCTCCACCCTCGTTTCATACACCGCCTTCAAGGAGTCAAAGAATTCCTTGTGTTGGCGACGTTCGGCGTAGCATTCCATCTGCTTCGCCTTCTCTGTCCACCATGCATTTTTACGCGACCGAGATCCTGGGGTCAGTCGCCGTCGAATTCTGCTAAACTTTCTTTTCTTCTCCAAGTGACATGTGCAGCAAATGCTTCATTCTTCTTCTACACCAATGCGCCACTCGTCCCATTGTTGTCATCAAACCAATCAGGCCGCTTACAGTTTGCGCGCCCGATGGTCTCCTTGGCAGCAGCTGTCACTGGTCACGAATGTGGTGCCACAGATCACCCACTGTGACTATGCATTCCACATCACACAGGCGTGGAGCCATCGCCTTCTTCAGCTCAATACGTTTCTTCACAGAACTGAGGGAGAGAATGTTAAATTTACGCTAATTCACGGCAGGAGTGCAATACATAGATTTACGAAAATATATATGCGGCTTGATTCGCACCACTTTGTGGTCAGTGCCACACTCGGCTCCACGCAGTACACGTCACATGCGCATTTCACGCATATCACGCTGACGTACGATGACATAGTCGAGCAGGTGAGCGTGACCACTCCGTGGGTGCGTCCAAGTTGTTATATCACTCGTACTGAGTGCAAACCGAGTGTTCGTGATCGTCAGGCCGTGAGTGTCACACAGTGAGAGCAGCCTGTCACCATTCGCATTTGCTGAACCAATGCCATGCGGACCGACGACATCTGTCCACGCCGCAGCATCACGCCCAAGGCGCGCGTTGAAATCACACAGAAGAAATAGTCGATCGCTCCTCGGCACAGATTGTATCACGGAGGATAACTGAGTTTAAAATTGATCACGCGTGTCATCAGGATAACACTTGCTTAGATCGTACGTGCTTATAAAAGTAGTAAATTTACCTATTCCGAGGCGTAGGCGAGCAGTCATCAGTCGCGCGCTGATGCCAGTTGGTTTACCCACCAGCTGGGCATTTAAGCGATCGAATATTTGCAAATCCGACCCATGTTCACATGGTGTTGAGGTGGCGTTGCCCACCCTGTAGAACGTGTAGCCAGCACCTGCTTCATGCAACTTACGTTTCTCAGCGAGCCGGGTCCTACTGAGTTCCGCAATATCGATGTTGGAGTGCGCCAGTTTCATTGCGTTTAGTGCAGTCCTTCGCTCGGGACGTTCACTGGTATTCTGGTCGTGCAAAGTCGCACGTTCCAGGACCCAATGTTAAGCGCTTTCCGCGGAGGCATACGATTGCATTGGCCGGCAGCCGTATGGGAAACGACGTCCTGGATTGGGGGAAGTAGTGGTTAGGTGAAATGATGACGGGGAGAGGATGTGCAGGGGAAGAGGAAAGAACGGAGGCGCTAGGAGTAGGTGTGGGCGTCCTGGTATCGTAGTCCAACAATGAATCAAATACGCATGCAAGCTTGCAAAACAACAAAGCTAGTAGGGCCTTTATCAGCTCACTCGTCGATCTTGTTTTTTTAGTCAGGTAGTTATTCACCGGGTCGAATTATAGAGTTGGGTGAGCACTAAGGTGGCGAGCATAGGTCAGCCGACGAGGTAAAGTCCCAAGTGAATGTTTACCAGGCAGAAGAAACAAAACAGCTGCTTATTAATCAGGACGTATGCAGGAAAAAGATATTTGAAACAAAAGGCCACTGACATCTGTTCCTGTATGATCAGTGGTCACACATCATAGCAAAAAACCAAATGAACTTGGAGGGCGAATTACAATATGCATTAGTCGATATTGCACCAGATATACGAGAAATCGTTAGAGCTAAGCAATATCAGCCATCGGACGGCACACACCACCTAATTTAATAAAAAGTTTACTCACATATGGTTCTTTTCTTTATTTTGATAATGAAAATTATTTGAACTAGTATTCTCTTTTCGCATTTCAGAGCAAAAAATGCAGTAGTTTATGGTTAATTTGCTTTCAAGCCAAACGTTTTTCTGGGATAAATGTTTATAGGGAGTCCGCTTTAGGGGTAACAGCCTCAAAAGGTTGAGAACCACTGACATGAACAGTGTCATATCCATTTCGACCGTACCATACGGAAAATTTGCATACTTCAGCCCGACCGGGTTCTTTAATTATTTTTTGCTCCTTCATGTTATGGGCTGACCACCCTAAGTATTTCCCTAGACGGTCACACACCGAGGTATGGGGATAAGAGGTATTTGAAAGGCACACATGTTGAAAGACCCATGTGAAATAAGACTATCGGTTTGAAACGCGATCGAAGCACACCTTTAGTACAAGTTATGGAGTCATGAGGGACTCCTCGTATATTGCCGTATGAGAATAAGCACAAAGAACGTGTGTGTAAATGGTGTCATCCAATTGCGTATACTGAGAGAAGTCACCATTCGCGCTCGCCTCAGGCCTTTGCCTTGATCGTTTGACCCCCAAGACGCGCAGTCCCATCAAATAACCGCGAACCACAGGTTTACGGATCTGTTCTCCTCATATTTTGGCTACTTGAAATGTTAACCGTAACTTTACCGGTAATACTTGCCGTCACTGCTTAGACACGTAATGTATCTGGTCCGAGCTGCGTTCGGCACAGCTCAATTTTCAGTGCTGAAGGATGCGTTGATTCGCCGTAGCCTAGCGTTGCATCGGTTGTGGTTATGTCTAGTAAAATATGGTAACTGCAAAATATCCAGTCAACTACCGAGTTTTTAATGTTGCTACCATCTGATCTGTAATCAGGATGTCCTCAGTACTTCCGAAGTGCAATTATAAACACATTCTGGATGTTTGTGAGTAGTGTCAGGTTTGTAGAAAGTAGAAGTCACGATTAAAATTCACGCACAATAATGTTTCTCGACGGGGAATCGAACCCCTGTCCACGAATTTCCGGTCCGCTGCTCTACCACAGCTACAGAGGGCTGACGATTAGGTGCGCAAATTTTAATACATGACGACCATCGCCCATTGGACATCTGAAGGACAGGTACTTTTGTCTATTGGGAAGTGACGGGTGAGTGAGCCAATCTGCAACACCAAGACAGGTACTGTGAGCCCATTGGCAATACGTCGCGCACCGAGCAGAAGTCATGTATTAAAATTTGCGCACCTAATCGTCAGCCCTCGGTAGCTCAGTGATAGAGCAGCGGACCGGAAATTCGTGGACCGGGGTTCGATTCCCCGTCGAGGCACATTATTGTGCGTGAATTTTAATCGTGACTTCTACTTTCTACAAACTATAAACACATACACTAGGTCTGTCGCATCTCGTATGATTTTAAATTTTCGTCACTCGTAAGCACCTTTGGAAATCCCCGTTTGACAAGAAGCTTGTTTTTATGTTCCTTTCAGGCCATTTCGCCATATGGATGAATGCGGTGGATTCAAGGATTGGGAGCCTGTAAAATCCCTCCATAAAAGTCATATTTATGAAGGAGTAGGTGTTCATTCCCACTCCATGGTTACTTGTCGCTTTGGTGTATTATTTCGATTCCCAGTCAGTTAATATCCATCTCTTTCATGGCCTACATCCGATTTAACCATGAACTTTTCATTGTTGTGCTAGCATTATTGGTCGCCTGTCATATGTCACACCTCACTGCTGGGTTTGGACAACAGCGGAATGCAACAAGTTTCTGACTAGGGGCCGCCTGACCTTAGGTAAATTAGTAACAGCTGTGCGCTTTTCTTCTCAGAATACTCAAATTTGTCGATCGGGCTACTTATCCGGAAACTGCGTATTTCCCATTGGCTGCCTGCATCAGCTCTAAAGTGCTTACGATTGATCGAACTAGTCATAGTTGCATGATCCATGCGTTTTACAAAATGATTGTCACAATATTGTTTGCGTCCCGTTTGACTGACGTCTTTTGCTTGGTGCTGCGCCGCCTACCAGCTTTTATTTAGCTTCAACCAGTAGTTTTGGTTTCGCACCTTGCAGCTGTGATATCTGAGTTCTTATTGAACATAGCCATTCACCTCTCGAACCTCGTATGAGGATATAGAAAATGAGTTTGTCTGACCTCTAATCACTTGGCTGTCATGGGTATCAACGACTCCGAAGGCACTTTTAGAGCGATACTTAATGCAGCGCAGTGACTCACAAACCATCACATCACATCGCAGTGTAGATATCGGAGCACACAGCGTCCGTGCCACTTCTGAGCTGGGGGAGATTGGTCCCGAATCAATCAGCGCAACCTGTACATATTTGGGCTTTTCCACATGCACTCGAACCTAATGACTGTCAGACCGCATGTTAATCAAGTCCTTACAAACTGTGTATGCACTCTACGGCACATCCACTGATCCACCCACCCATCGATGATAAGTGTTGGCCGTGGGCCGGCTGCGAAACAACCACGAATAAGGTATGTGCGCTGATTTCGTTCCTTCGGATTCATACACATTCACAGCTGACTCATCACAAGCACTGCTGTTGAACACTAGAGCACGAAAATATTAAAACAGATCCACGGACGTGGACCACGAGCACTTGTCTCAATCAGTACATCAGCAATTTGAACTGATGCTTCGCTGCCATTCAACCATGATGACCTATAAAATAAGGAATAATAAGAGGGAGAGAACGGGATTACCGGAGAAACTTAACGCCCTAAGGAAACATTCAGAGTCAAGGCGTCTACATCTTGTGTTAACAACTTACCGTCACAAACAGCTGGATATCGTGTACAGATAAGGCGACATCAGCGAGATAGCTTCCTTGCGACTTTCACTGCCCCGCGTCATTATCAACCATGAAACCGCCGATAACTCAGCACCAAACACTTTAGACAGGCAGTTCGACTAGAAGATGGCAGCAGACGCGCCACTGGTGTCGGTTGCGAGCCATGTCCTGTAAAGTCTCGAGTCAAGCACAAGACGAGTCCGGAAGGTGAGACCGACCAACGGCACCCAGTTTGGGCGTCAGTGATTTCATTTTCCGTCGCCAAGTCAACTTCTGTCCACTTCGAGCCTTGCGCCACCCTACACTTGGCAGACTAAACAAGGCCCTCCTAGGTAAGCGGTGACCAAGCATACGTAGCACGTGCCCAAGCCAACGCAACTTATTCCGTGCTATCTGTTGTTCTAAGAAGCTAGCATTATTATTACTACCTAATATTCGCCTACGCACGTCATCGTCTCGGACATGCTGGTGGCACCAGACACCAGCAGTGATCCGCAGACAACGATGATCGAGGACCTAAGGGGCCAAGTTTCACTTCCATAGAATAAGAGGGACCTCACTGTGGCCTTGTAAACACAACTTCTCAGTCGGACGGAAATTTCCTTCTGACGCCAAATATGCCGCAGGTTCAGGAACTCAGTTCTGACTTTTGCACTGCGTGAACTGACTTCCGTTTCTATGTGCCCATCGTTACTGATGCCGCTGCCAAGGTAAGTGAATCGAACACCCATCTCGAGTTCCACGTTTTCAAGCGGTCATCAAGTGGCTGGTGATCCTGCAGCAACACTGTACTTTCAAGGTGCGAAGCGCGCACCAAATAATGTGACAGCTCTGGAGAAGCTATTCAGGGTTGTTTGTGCCGCTGCAACATCGTCCAAAAGCAAGACGATGTCGTTCGCATAATCGAAATGAACTAGCGTTTCAGCAGACAGGACCTACATTGTGAGGTTGCGTAAGGGATCATTCCATGGTGAAATCCACGATGAAATTCAACAGAAACTAGGAAATCGGACAACCCTGACGAACGCCACTTGTGGTCGGAAAGCTATATAAAACAGGTCACCGTAGAGCCTGATGCGTCCTGTAGTGTTTGAGAATAGAGCACGTAGGATGTTCACATATTTCTTGGGAACACATTTCCGCGCAAGTAGTTCGAACAGAATCCATCGATCGACTGAATCGAACGCACTCTTGAAGTTGAGGAATACAGCCATTGTCGGTCTGCGGTATGCCTGGCGCTGCTCTAGCACCTGCCGCGGAGTGAAGATAAGGTCCATGCAGCCATCTCTTGGGCGGAAACTTGCATGCTCGTCCCTACTTGAGATTCCCGTTCCGCAGTGAGGCAACGAACAAGAATCGAGGCCGGTACTTTTGTCACAACTGGCGTTAGGCTGATACCTGTGTGATTAGCACAGTCTGTGCCGTTGCCCTTCTTGTATATTGCCACTATAATCGATTCACTCCAGTTGTCCGGGATACGCTTCCTTCTAGATATGTTCGAAAAGGGAGTTCAGTGCTTTGCAGAGGACCTCACTTCCATCCTTTAATAGTGTAGGTGGGAGGGAATCTGAGCCAGTGGCAGGAAAACGATTGAGGGCTGTGGTCGCGTTTCGGACCTCGGCCTCCGACGGAGGCTCTAAACCAACTGTCCATGACTCTTCCTGCATCAACTGAGTAGGAAGAGGTTCGACAGCAGGGGTCCAACTGAACTGATCTTGAAAGTGTTCTGCCCAAACGAGCCATCTGGTGCGGTGACGATTGATAGTGCCGCAGCAAAGGCTCCTGCGTCGTACATGGCGGCCGAGATCCTATTCCACCGAAGCACAGTGTCATGAGGACAAGACAGCATAACTTCGGTACGCATTGCGCATTGTTAGGCTTGCCTGACCGAGGGCTGAGACAATTTTCCAGTTACCAGTCGGGGGAGACGCTTGGTGCACCTCCCAGGAAATTTCATGAAGAAACGACAGCTTACAAAGATATGATCACGGTCGACGCGCGTATTCCAGGACGAGTGGCAATCCACGATGAGCCCACGCCACCTGTAACTTATGGCAATGTGGTCAGTTTGGGTCCATCGCTGGCCAGCTACAAGAGGACGCCAAGTGGCACTTGGGCGCCTACTGGGCCTAAAAGTGGTGCTACTATGACACAACCGGTGCTGCGCACACAATTGTAGGAGACGCTCACCGTTGTCAGTTAAACGCATAACTACCATCTAGCTGAGCTTCTGAAGAACTCAGGCGCCCTATTTGTGCGTTCATATGCCTTGCAGCTATTATAATATCTGAGCAAGTAGCACTGCGTAGTAGCACATTCAGTTCGTGATAGAATGTGTTCTTGACAGCATTAGAACTGCAGTCGGTGGGAGCAGAAACGGAAATCGCAAACAGCGTTTTTTACTACTTCGTGAATCAACCTTGGTTGATGTCGTCAAACGGACTGCACATTAACTGCTGTTCACCGGAATCTAATCAACCAACGATGGCTTGGCTTTGGAGGTTAGTATGTTACCTACCCGAGCTTCATGCGTGGGTGTTGCACCGGCATCTCCGGATGCGTGCAACCAATAGCGAGAGGATAAGCCGGATTCTGTTAATACAACAACCCATTAGAGTCATATATTTTCTGGTTTCGGACACACAATACACAGCAGTACCAAGTGGGTCCAACGTACGTGCGAGTGCAGCCTGTTGACCTATCTATCTTAGAGTGCGAACTTTGCACGCCGCCAGGGAAACGGGGGAGCGTGGCCTTATAAGGGACTGTTGTTGTTTCCACTGGCAGTACGGAAAACCGGTGCACCCAATTTGGTCAGGATACAGGCATTTCCTAAATCAGCAGACAAAGGCCTCTGACAGAACTTGCATGGAGCACCTGGAAGACAAAATGAACATCCAAAATATCGGGTGGAAATAAATAGTTCATGAGAGGAAGGACCTAGTCGAAAGTTCCTGACTATAGTAACTACTAGATGCGCGAAAACTCGTTTGTTGGCTGAGCAAGTAATGTGCTTACTTGAGGGCTTCAAGATAGATCATTCTGGTTGGTCCACTTCAAAGTAAAAAGATGCCATTGGCTTACTCTCATTGACTAGCCAATCGGCTACAGGCGGCATACAACCATTCTTCTCCGGGCTGCTTAGAGAGAGGGAGAGAGAGTTATCTGCTATGGACGGGCTCCGGTGAGTGCTACGAGAAGGTAGTTGCAGATAGCTCTACTCCATTGGCAATGCGTTAGCTGTCAATAAAACTGGGAATTATAGAAGAAAGGTTAGTAATGGTGGCGGTCCGGATGGGAGTAAGAGAAACAAGTGGAAAAGAAACGAGGCGCGAGCAGTACCGTGTTTTCGCATATGTGCCCTGCTGTTTGCAGTAGATCAGGCGACCCTTCATAATCTGCGCGATTGCCGACGCACGATGTAGTTAGCGTACTGGGAAATTGTCATGGTTCTATGTGGGCTGAGATACTGCCAGAGCGCCCAGACCTACACAGGAGGACGATTAAGGTCCTCAACCAAAGCCTTTGACTCAAAATCCTGTCCGCAAGGCAGCTGAGAGGTGACAATGATTTACTTTTACAGAAATGAACGACATCCCATTTTAAACCCTCGACCTGAAGGAGTAGGAGACTGAGTTTGCCTGACCTCTAACCATTGACCACCCTGGTAGGCGTAGATCTGAGGGTGCCCGGATGCACCACCCAGTAGTGGTCAAGAAGGTACTCAAACTGTCGAGCCACGTTAAGGTCCAGTCTCGTTTCACTTGTCCGCCTAGTGGTGTACATTTCATACACACAGCAGCGCACCTATTTCACTTGAATTTGTTAGACCAAGTTCACTAGGCTGTTTCGATTGAAACAAACCTGCTAGTGTAGTTGGCGAGCCAACATTTCACGTTTGACATTAAATCTTTGTCGCTGAGTGAACCAGAGTAGTATTTATAATGTATTTGGACGGTGTCGCGGCTACCAAGATGTAGGTTTGAAATCAGGACCTCTCGATCAGTTCGCAACACCTATCAACATGTGGGAAAAACAAACCTTATTTGATCCAACTTCGCGTGCAACTGACATTCTTTTGGTACACTGTATCGAAACCATGCGGTTTCTAAGTTAGTGAGCAGGCTGAACCATACGTCTGTTGTCGTGGCAGCTTATATCACGGAGTCATGCCGGCTGCTGTTTTTCTCTTTAGCGGATTACATAACATCTATGCACTGTAATCAATAAACGTGTGGGTACCAGTCATTATCCCTATCTGGGAACTAGGTTAGAGGACAATGACAGGCATTTCTCACATGGTGTCAACATGTATGATGATGAGGATGGTCAAACACCTCTTCTGAAGACAAATAAAGTACTAGTTTCATCAAATTTGCAAATACAACCTTCTCCGCTGATTGATCCTTGTGACAACGAAATCGGTCATCAATCTGAGCATGTTGAAGCGCGCCAGACTTAGCCAGGATCCGGTGCTCCAGATAGAAGCGGATGAACTGAGGGGGAATCAAGACAGCAATTGCCACATTAATTTCTTTGCCGACAGAGAATGCCTTAACCATATATTTTCATTTCCTGGATAGACATGACGCATACAAACGGTCTGTCACAATAGACATTCCCTGCTTTGGAGGTTACCCGTGATTACGTGGACCGCACCTGTTTGTGCCCATACCATTTCTTGAGTGGAATTATGCAGAAACGCCTTTGTCCGAATGTTTGCAGACTGCATCTCCCGGAGCAGTATACTGGAAACTTTCCTGAGCACACCACGAGAACTCAGTTATGTCAGCTTTCCTGTTTTTCAATCATGACCATCTCCATCTTCATCAGAAATAAACATCCTGGCACATGATCCAATGAAATTCTTGGAATGCGGTCTCTTTGGACTTGATGAAGCTTGTGCGTAGGCGTTGTTGGATAAGTTGACACATATCGCCGCACACCTTAAGTGGGCGTGTACCGCCACGCCCCAACTCACTATCGCTAAGTCCCCTCTTAATTTTGTCGTCTAATTCACTCGTTGCTCAATCACCCGGGTCTTTTGTGGCAGTCAAATCATCTGGTTACCGATATACCGCAGAGGTTCACGTGTCATTTCAAGGCCACAATTAATAACAGATGCCGCGAAACATCGAGCATTTGGATACTTGACACTACAGTGTGTTTATTATTGCCGTATGGTTCTGGGACATAACTAATGCGCGACGTGGCGCAAAAAAGGGACTGGTGCCCGCGATGCATCATTCCTATCCAACCAAAGCATAGCGTAGTACTTAGTTCCGTTCGTTGGCTTTCCATGGAGAAATATTCAAGTGTCGTTGTTAACCCCAAGCTAAACACGCTAGCTAGGCGGTGCCTTTGGCATGCTTACAAATCAGACCCCTCGCGGTACAATATTATACAAGCCAAGAGTTAGATCCCAGGGTCGTCATGGCATGTTGCATTCCTCGTAATTAGGTAGCGAAAAACACCACTTGCTCCTGGATTCTGACTGACAGATAATCAAAAAATACAGAAAACAATAGACTCGCTTTCCTCAGCATCAAGCTTCGTTTCTGAAAGCTAGCGTCATATGGCATCCCCAGATCACCGTTTTTTTCTGGCGTGCATCATTGCATTTAGAGGACGCTCCGTTCTTTATCTGCCTACCGCACGACGTCAGGTTTTTTGCTTTCACACTTTTGTTGCGGACATAGTTTCATTTTGTCGAACTTATTGATATTTCGTTGACATTGTGGGTGGTGACCTTATGCTCCACAGGGAAGTCTGTCGGAGCTCATCAGATTGACCAAATGGAATGCGAAGAATATCCTCTACTTCGGTGATCACGTATACTCGGACCTAGCGGTGAGTGTTCGAAGAATCTACTACAGTTCCTTTTGATGTTCATCAGAACCTCTCTTAAAACACCTTTGTTACTTACCTTCCACCTCCTCTTCCAAACTCCGAACGCAGGACGTATCCAACCTTCAAGGATGGACCACTGCCGCCGTCATACCCGAACTGGAGCACGAAATTAAGGTGAACAATAAAGTGGACTTCCACAAATGTTGGATCAAAGTTCAGGGCCTAGAGCGGTTGATCGATAAACATCAGGTGGGGAGTCATCTTCTCGACCCCATAATGTTTAATCCTGCCTCTTTCACATGGGAATTAAAGTAGTCATATCGACCAGGATTGCTCGAAATACGCAGTAGTCCGCCAATTGACTGACTGGTTCGAAGAATTCCTAACCAAAGATATTTTAAGCTTACATCCAAGCCATCAGTACATGCTACTTTAGCCTCACGTGGACGAATAAGTGAGCGATAAAATTCTGCGCCAACAAATCTGGCGATGTTTTTCCTAAGCTCATCACTACCATTATGAACAGTCAAGCTGTGTTAAGCCATTTTAAGTTCACCCTGGAACCGCGTGGCCCCGCGCATACCAGTCGGCTGCATGTTGAAGCTCTTAACCCATGTAGCTTCTACATCCCATAAGTATTGCTCCTCTAGGTGGATGCGAATGCCTAGCGAGTCGATCAAATGTTGATGTGTTAATCCAGTTTTCTGGTGGTCACCTTGGTCCGGTTGTAGAATCCCACACTATTCGGGTATCCGCAACATATATCTGAATCAAACGATTTCGTCATCCCGGAAGCGATAGCGAACTTTCATGTGTAAAGCCTTCATCAAAAGTTTGGACGCTGCTCGTTACTTAATACCACGACCCAGCGTCACAAAGCCATTATGCTTACATTCAAATGAAATAGACGATCCCCAGTGTTGGAAAACGCAAACAAAGGACCGTAATGGGGTTTGGCAATGCTGGTTGCTTGACCTTGTCCCTGTGCCAGGTTTAGCGTAGCTTTACCTTTTCAATCTGTTCTCACTTTACCTGTCATCTGCAACTTATGTGTCGCCCACGTGGCTCGCGCACATTGTTTGCCTCAGAATTATACATATCGCGATGACTTAACAGTTGCCCTGCCTGTGTCTTCTGTAGCATGTACGCTCATCTCAGGCCGTTGCTCTGTTGAACACATGGCACGCCGAACGAGAGAAACTGCGGCACCAGAGCAAGGTATCATTCAACCAGCATTTCGGAAGCATATTCCGTTCATTCCATAACCCGTCTTACTTCTCGCGACGATTATCCCAGTACGCCATCCTGTACACTTCAAAGGTAACAAACCTGAGTCAATATCCGTTGAACCACTACTTCTATCCAAAGCGATCCGCCCTTCCTCATGAATCATCCTAATGGTACAAATCATCTCACTAACCGGATTTTATCTGCCTGTTATTCTCGTTTCCCACTGTATCCGTTTGAACGTTACGTTCACGAAAAGGACTGTATCTTGTGCGCCGTAATGATCTCTCAGGTATATTCTCATACTGCGCTAATCTGCGTTTTGGACATTGTCTACTTCACTGGATTCCTTCGGCTGAGACTAATTTCCAAACTGCGTATTCTTAATTTTCGTGCTTTTTATTGAAATAAAGTAGTTATCCGAAAAAAAGTTGATCATTGCTTGTTTAATCGATAGTTGAAGTTGTTAGATCACTTTGTCGGGTTCCGCCACATCACAACCAGCGATAATTTGGTCCCCACGAGGCCTTGTTGATATTTTGCGCAAGCAGGTTGAGACTCGACAGTTGACACTTGGCAACACCTCTTCCAGCACCGCACTAGATCGTGTGTCCAGATAGCAGTGCTTACATCGATCGGGTCACGTTCTTCGCTGTTTGCCAAAAGCCTACCTAGGATCGGAAGACGATCACGATATGATGAAGAAAAAACCAATGAGCACATCAGTGTCTTATAGGCGATACTGAGGAGGCTAATCCCTCCTTGGGTTTTTGCATAGAGTCTGTTGGTCTTGATTAGAGGCAAAGATGACAGCCAACAACTGCCAGTCAGAAGGCAGCTTTCAAGTGCATCCTCAATAGTACAGCAGGATAACTGCATCGAGCGCCTACCGTCTGTCTCTAGCGGGGTAATGTCATTGGTCATGGGTAGTTCTTCGTACTCCCAGAGCGCTAGTCCGCATCGTATCCGCGGAGTGTTGTGAATCGTGATGTTGCTCTTGTGCTCCTGCTTTCTTCCTCCCATCACAAGAGGAAGTTAACTTCGCCAGTAATTCTCGTCCCTTTAGATCTACTCCATTGAATCTCGCCAGTGACCCTCCTTAAACTCCAATCTTCATTCCGGCTGACAGTCCCCAATCTTCGAACGTCCATACAGACCGAACAGCAGGCTGGCCTAATATGGTAGGTTCGGAATCGAAATAGAATTAGGCTCCAACCAAGCCCATCTTGACTCGTAGTAAAAACACCCGAATTGGAACTGGAATTTTGCGGGTATATTTTCTAAATCAACTGGTGAAAAGGAATAACAATGATCGATCATTGAATATTGTATGTACAACCATCACATCCTCCGCAGCTTGAATGAACCTCCAGGTTTTTGTAATTCGGTTGGGATTTCTTTTGCAATCTGGCGAATCTTCTTGGAGGCTGACTCTGCTCAGAACTTTCAAGAGAAGCTGCAACTGAATTGTCATTAGTATTCTCAGTGCACACAGAATCAAATGACAACTGATCGGAATCCTCGCATCGTAGCTGATCACGATGCCATTTATGTACAGAGCAGTCATCGAGATCCAGAATTTTAACCTTAAGATTTCCAAGTATGTTAACAATGATTCCGGATGAAGAACGTAAAGCATTGCCTCTAAAATAAGGTACTTCAGCGGTTCCAAAACTACGCATATTGGACCTCAATGATATGGATTCGCACAGTTTAGGGGGTATATCTTTAGTGGTGGAATGCATATAGTTACCATATTGAAGAAAAAAGTTATCAACACAGCGATCAACTTCATCAAAAGAAGTAGAACCACAGGAGGTAACCGAACGTTTTAAAGTTGCAACAAAGCTTTCAGCTAGGTCATTAGAGCACGGATGTCGTGGAGTAGTAAAGTGGTGACGACACCCAAGACGTTTCAGCTAATTGGTAACTATTGAAGCTGAAAAGTGAGTCATTGTCACTTACAATCTTCCCTACTAAACACTTTTCTCAAGATACGGGCAGTAAAATCAGCATTTGGTTTATCAGTCAGGAGTACTTTCGGCCACTTTGAATAAGAATCCACCACCACAAATGCATAGTACTTCTGTAGAAATGGTCCACAGTAATCCATATGTATCCTTTGCCAGGGCTCGCATGTCATCGGCCATGGTGTTCACTTGGACGGCTGCTGTAGAATCTTGTGCTTACAGTTCAGGCAATCAGAAGCAGTTCGTCGAATATCTGCATTTACTTCCGGCCACCAGCACAAGCATCGAGCTAACAGCTTCATCTTTTCAACACCAAGATGACCAGAATGTAAATCCGTCAGAACAGCTGATCTCAAAGTCGGCGGAATAACGACACGGTCATTCACACACATTAATCCATCGGGTGTGACACACAACTCATCACGACACATAAAATTGTGGAAACCCGTTTTGGAGAAACGGACCATGATCATTTGAGAGCAGAAATCAGTGACCCTTGATACTTTCTAGCCTCCTTTATGAGGGCTGAACTTGAGATTGAAATCGGCTGGGTGTGTAAATCACTCATCTTCGAATCGAATTTGATTGCCGTTGCATTTTGCGATAAATAGTCGACGTGAGGAATAAACTTGAACTTTGTGCTCAACCACATAGTTGTACGCGTTTAGATCAACACTGCACTTTTAAACCATAGCTGTTGAAGATTTAGCTAAAGAACTGACAGGGTTGTAAATGAACTTTAGAGCTTCATGATGTCACAACAGTAACTCTGAGATCAAACAAATATTTGTGAAGTCTACTGACTGCCCAGTGTACAGCCAAAGCTTCTCGATGAGTCTGAGCATAGCCCTTTTCAGCATTGCTGAGTCGTAGAAAGATACACAAAACAGGGTGCCCATCTTTCTTTTAACACAGCACCTATACCGGTTGGTGAGGCACCTATGAAAAGCACGGAGAGAATTTACAAAGAACACAACGAGAAGTAAGCATTTTCAAAAGCTTTCGAAGTACATACTCATGTTTGTCTAGCCAAATAAAACTCAAGGTGAATAAATAATCAACAATGGATGCAAAAATATGAATGAATTTGGAATAATACTTTAAGGCTCCCATCAGTGACAGCACAATGAATCACTCTTCAAACAAATTTTTGATGCTCTGGCCACCGCAGGGTGGATAGGGTTTGGATGCTACTGCCCAAGCCTCCCGGTCTTACGCTTTTTCATCCTTATCGTCCCGTTCCAGCTTCACTTTTATCCCCCCTGTTTTCAACCCCCAATTCTCGGCCCTCCCCATCTTGCTTCAATAGTCGCTTGTCTTTTAGTTTCAACTCACATGCTAACGCGGAGCGTCATTCCTGCCCTGTTAACAGGCCCATGTCCAAGCAAGCGGTCAAGCCCAGTTCATCGGCTTCCATTTGGAGCCCTCGATCCTCCTTTAGATTGGCATGCCACAACGTTCGCACATTGCTTCAGATCGGTCAACAGGCAGCACTTGCCTCTCGATCGATATCTGCTGCTTATCGAAGACCCGCCTGCAAGACTCGAGCTCTGTACACACTTTGCGATCCCCTTCAGGTAACACCAGCAACACTCTCATTGCGCCTATCCGGTGACGATGCAGATTCGAGTACCGGCCAAGCTGGTGTTGGTATTGCCCTGAGTCCCCGGGCTGAAGCTACTCTGGTTGATTGGATTCCAATCAGTAGCCGGATGTGTGCGGTCCGATTGGCTGGCTCGTTCAAAGCATCGAAGTCGCAAAGGACGGACAGTTGTCTATTCGTTATCGCTGCCTGTTCACCGACAAACTCTAGCGATGACTCGGTAAAAGACGACTTCTGTCGTCAACTGAACGAGCTCCTTAGCCACAGAAGAAGTTCGGACACTGTAGTGCTGGCTGGGGATCTGAACGCTCAAGTTGGAAAATTATCCACAGATGAGCTGCATCTGGGCGGCCAACATGGTGTAGGCTCCCGTAATGATAACGGTGAGCGGTTACTTCATTTGTGTGAGGATGCTCGCTTATTTCTTGCGAGCACTAACTTCCGACACAGCACCCGCCGGAGGGTGACTTGGCGCCCACCAGCCTCGAACCAGCTATGGACGCAAATCGATCACATTGCGATAAGTTACCGATGGAGAGGCTGCGTCCAGAACTGTCGCTCGATCTGGAGCACAGGTGTGGACACCGACCATGCACTTGTATATGCTGACATGCGGATGCGCTTTGGCGGACGCCCATGACGACTTGTGACCGCATTGACACTAGCCAACTGGCGAAACCAGCTTTTCTGAATGCCTATCAAAGTACGCTGTCATACGAGTTGGATGAACGCTCACTGGGTGCAATTGAAGCTCACTGGCCTCATATTCACCAGACCTTGCTAGCAGCAGGAAAATCCTCATGTGGTATGTCTAATAGTCAACATGGATATCGGGTCTCTTCGCAGTCTCTGGAACTTATCGATGCTCGCCGGCATATTCCGGCTGGAAGCGAACACAATGAAACTCGCAAAGAGCTCCGGGTAAATATCCGTGCTAGCCTGAAGAGAGACCGCGAATCCTGATGGTCTCATTGTGCATCAGAGGTGGAAATGGCAGCTGCCCTTGGTAACCATCGTAAATTATTCCGGCTGATACGGGAATCGGGCAGCATGAGACCTGGTGTTAGTGGAACTATACGTGACGAGAGTGGACAGCTCATCCACAATTTGTCAAAACGCTTGGAGCGTTGGGCTGAGCACTTTGAAAGGCAATTTAATCGGTCGGAATTGTTAGATTTCTCGCCGACCAGTGATCGCCCTGCTCCGTGGGCTGTCGCTTTGGATCCACTATCTCGTTCAGAAGTCGAATGTGTAATCGAACTGTTGAAGTTAAATAAAGCCGCGGGATCAGATGATCTTCCTCCAGCCCTCTTCAAATTTGGGGACATGCTCTTGTGGATGATTTACACAAGTTACTATTGAAACTATGGGAGCAGCAAACTGTCCCAACCGACTGGAGCCGCTCTGTCATAGTCCCAATTTTTCAAGGGATGCTCACGATCAGAATGCGGCAACCATAGAGCAATCAGTCTGATCCCATCGTCTCCAAATTGATTGCCTCTGTCATCCTTCACAGAATGTCTGGCACTCGTGAAAGCCAGATTCGTGAAGAGCAAGTCGGATTTCGTCGAGGTCGTGGTTGCATTGACCACATCTTCACTTTGCGTCAGTTGTTGGAGCATCGTCACACGTATTGGCGGCCCACCGTTGTTGTGTTCCTCGATATCAAAGGTGCATTCGATTCGGTGGATAGACGTGCACTTTGGTACTGTCTACTCAGGAAAGGTGTACCTGAGAAATATTATCCGAGCATTATATGCGCGTAGCTCGGGTAGAGTGAGGGCTTACGGCAAGCTGTCGTCGCACTTTAATATCTCCAACGGTGTGAGGACAAGGATACACGCTGTCACCTTTCCTCTTTAACTTCGCTGTTGATGAAGTCATGGAAATCGCGTTTACAGGACACGACTTAGAAGGTGTGGATCTGCAAACACTGCGGATATGTCCGACTTTTCCACACTGATGGCATTTAGAATTCCGATTCGGACAAGTATACCGGGAATGCAGTTTTCCACAAAAAACGCATTGTCCAATATTTTTGTCGGGTTGACTACACTTTGCATTGTTTGACTTTTTCAGGGCGTACGATTGAGCAATGCCGTGAGGTTTAAATGCGTTACGTAGCCACTGTTTTCTCGGCGCTTGGTTGAGCCCAACAAAACTTGTTGGTCAACAGCAGTCGCCTGGAATTTTGTAATGTCAGAAACATCCCGATATTGTAAACAGCTGGACTTCACTTGATTATAAGTCAGTTCTGGAAGTGATAAGAGCTGACGATATAAATCGGGAGTATTTATGCCAGCAATCAGGCGATCACTCAGGTATTCATCAAGCTTATCCTCAAATGCACAAGAGGAGGCATGCGACTGAAGTTGGAGGATGAAATCGCGAACAGATTGACGCATCAGTAAGTTGAACTTTACCCTTCAGGCAACCACGAAACTTTCCGGTAATAAATGCGACAAAAGAAGGTCCTTCAAATTTTAATAAGACGATTTCGACAGTAGCTGAGGATAAGCCAGATATTTCAGGAGTGAATAGGCCTTTCGTCCGACAACGGTTAAATAGTGAGCTCCTTTAATGTCTTCGCAAAGGTCACCTTTGGTGAGCCACCTTAGTTTGAATCTCTCTTTGTATTCTTGTAACTCGTGAAGAAATGCATTTACGTTTAAGGACTCGGTAGTTGAATTCATTTTGGAATGAACATTGACCACGAAGCCAATTATGGTGGGCTTGGGACGTGGAAGCCACTCGCTCGAGGAGCTCATCTCACTGCATCAGCTGCGGTGGTTGGGACACGTATTGCGCATGCCTGTCCAGCGTTACCCCCGTCGTGCGTTGTTTGCACTTGCTGGACAGGGCTGGAAGAGACGGTCTGGTGGACAGCCTACAACATGGAGAAGCCGCATGAAAAAGTTGACGAAACAATTGGCCTCGGCCGGTTGTTGTCGACTACCTGATTGGGGTCCGAGAGATGAGGATACTTGCTGGTTGAAAACCTTGGAAGTTATGGCTCAAGATCGATGTCAATGGCGGACGTGTGCATCAGTGTGTTGCGGTGTCCCTTCTTCCTCCCCCTAAAAAAACAAACTGAAAAAAAATTCAAGAATTGTGAGTGGTAAACTTGACAAGAAAGCATTTCTTGTTGCTCTTTTCTTATTATTCATATTGTTTTCCTATTCAGCCATGATTCCGATGGCACAATATTTGTACCACAGATTGTGTATTATATATATATATATATATATATATATATATATATATATGGTGGGCTCAAAACCGAAATAAAATTAGGCTCCAACTAAGCTTGTCACGACTCGTAGTAAGAACACTCGAATTGGAGTTCGAATTTCACGGGTAGATATATTCGAAGTGAATTGATGAAAGAGGATAACAATAATTAATCACTGAATATTGTGTGTACAATCATCACACCTATTACTCACCCTAGAGTCACTCGCTATCGATTTTTGTTGTCTTTCCGAATCTCAATTACAGGACTCCGGGACCGTGGTTAAGTTTACGTCACCTGCTGATCTCGGAACTAAATATATTTTCCGTTTGTCTGGTGATGTAGAATCAGCAACAGCTGACTTGGCTGTTTTTGGTATCGCAATGAGTGACATAGATCGTGTTGCTCGATTGGTTTCAGATTGACAGTCGACGGTGCGATTCGGCTTCAAGGCTCATGAAGGATCAATAGACATAACAAAAATAGTAATGATATTATGTACATTTCTCAGTCCGAAAAACTATCTGTAACCGTGAGGAACAATATGTACAAAATTAACCATGCTCTTGCATGAACAAAATGTATATGTGCAATATCGACGCATGCGATTTGTGCAACAGCGACTTAGTCGATGTTTAAGGCGAAAGCTAAGGTTTTGAAATGGAGGTACAGATATTTTTTGTTCCCTCTTGGAATAGTTCATCGAGGAATATTTCTCATGTGTATAATCATTGTTGTTATACTTGCTCGCGTCCACAAGATTACTGCTTAAGTGTTCAGTGAAGATACAGGTGTCGAAGCAGTGCACGTCCCATTACTTGCACAAAGCCATACAGGTTTGGCGAACTGATCGAAAGCTAGGTGTCCGATTCAAAAAAACACACGCGACGGTTACACCAGGTGAATCGTTAAACAACGTTGCGTCAGCGATTACGAGGGATTGCTGTACACTGGTCACCAGGCAAACGGCAATCCTCATGCATAATGAGAAACCTGGCATCCCCAAGGCCACTGTTATCAATCGACAGCGTCCACTAATCTGTGTTCAGAAAACAGCTGGCAGTGACACTAAGCCAACCGTGGTAGTGTGTAAAGCACCAATCGTAATACAGTTGACCACCACCGGTCGATTTCATGTGGCTTTGTTTTGAATCTTTTGTTAGTTGCATATACGTGGCCGACGAGTATGCATGTAATGACAGTGTCATCTCTCATTCTTCGTCTTCTGATATTCTTATTTGGAATTATAGAGGAAATTTCAGGGTTTAGATGACATTGTCAGTTTAGGAAATTTATCCACTATTTGGACACCCCTATTTGGGCGGATAAATCACCAACCTTGAATTCGCGGCAGCTCGGAGTTTACACAAAAGCAGTCCACCACAGGAACGGATCCCCTTACATGCATCCCTATCTCTCTTCCAACCACCAACTTTCTCACAAAAGATATGATCCGTAACCACTTTCGCAGAATTTCTATGTAGCGCCATTGACGTGTAGTAATTTGGAACAGCGGGTTTTCAATGTGAAATTGCACTGCCGCTTTACCGGACAGCGTACGATATCGTTATGTAGACTTCACATTTACGCAGAGGTAATCAGCGTACTTCGTTGCCCAAGCAGTTTGTTTATGTACGCTTAAGCCAGACAGTTTCCCTTGCACTTGTGACAAACGTCTCTTCTATCAAATTAGCCGATCGTGGAGCGAAAACAAGTTCATGTCTGGACCGGCACGCTTCCGTATCAGTAACAACGCACACGGCCAAAATCTGTTGCATTCGGCGATTTTTATAGCACAGCACTAATAAACCGAATTCAAGTGGCCAAGCCATTTTGCTCATTCAATGATAATCGCTCCACAAAAGGGAACGTATCCCGTCTATGGAGATATTTACCCATTTATTTATTATGCGCCACAACATATGACTCGCCTCCCAAAATGCAACTACGAGCAATTATTCCTGCACTCCTTTCCAACCAGCACTTTGAGACAAAACTTCCACTGGGTTACTGTTGTTAGTATAATTAGCCATAAGATGTGCATCTTGTATGATGATGAAGTACAGTAGCAAAACTGCATGCCGGAAAACCTAATATCAATCGTGTGGGGTAGTCTCGTCCTGAGGAGGTGGTACGGCAATTGGTGGTCGTTATTCTTGTCGTGAGGGAGCGATCGATCGACTTCTGCCGGAGCGTTCTGATTCCGGGTCAGCCAGAGTGTATGCTGGGCGGTAGCCACAGCGACCCGACTCCGTGATATATCGGAGATTTGGGTTCGGATGCGTATCCTCCATGCTTCCGATGGATGTGTATCTGTAAGCAAATAGGCGGGGATTCAATGTTAGTGTATGTTTCGTGCCATTTTTCGAATAAACGGAGAATGATGAAGAAATGTTCGTTGTCAAAGTGAGTAGCTATTTTCAAATTTTGTAGTAGTGAAAGATGGAACTGTGATCAAATTTTTGATTGAGATTCGTCGCAGTCAGACAGCCCGTGCACATCCGGAGAAGCACTGTGCAACTATTTCATTCTTTCGGGAATCGCCAGTAGTGTGCATCCTATATGTCTCCTGTCCGGCTAAAACGCAAACTGACGACGCATACGTGTCCGTAGTTGAAAACTGGGTCAGGCGAAAGTCATTTTTCCTCCACTGCTATGCACGCTTCTAACTTGGACAGGACAATGTTTGCCTCATTAGAAATAACATCGCTTGTTCGATGGCATCGTGAGGTGACTTGACCGAGTGCTTGTGTATAAAGTAGCGGAAGGGGGGGTCTAGATTGAATTTTCAAGTGGCGGATGGTAAATACAGTGATTGGAAGAGGGATTACTGTCAATGTCCCGAGTACTGTTAGGGATAAGTGCCCTGTCCTGTTGACAATGTGAGAATAGATGATTGATACCCGTAAGTTGGATAGGATAGTCCGGATATTCACGGGGCAGTGACTTCAATTTGTGGCGATTCACGAGTGCCACGTCGTAGTGTTGATAAACAGACATTGGCTTTTATAGGGAGAACGCTTGCCAGACGAAAACCCACCACGTTCTGCTACACTGCTGCCAAACTACTTACTGGAATGAATTAAACCTGAAACACCCAGCTGGCGCCACAAGGAGGTTGTTCGGCTAGCCAGGTTTATCGCTTCAAATATACGTTCGGCAGTAGCGAGGATGTGCGTGTCGACCAGGTCTTCTGCTTTGGACAACGAAGGTACGAAGTACGCGTTGAAACGTGGAGCGCTGTCTGTCCACTAAACGACACTTACACAACAGCTGGGGACAGCCCCAGAAAAATTTTGTTATCCGCGCACTCTAAGCTTAAGGACTATTTACCCGAGAACCTCCCCTTAAAAAACACAATATTGAAGAAAAATGGAAATATGGAGTGATCCCCATGCACAAACTTTGTTGCAGACGACTCAAAGCACAGTTTCCCACAACATAAACAACAACAACAAACACAAACCAGTAGACGCAACCACCTAAGTCAAATACAGTCAATAAAAATTGTCGTGATGAGCCTACTTAATTGACTACAACTATCCAACGGTGGTTCACGCACTGAAGTGTGGTGGACTCACGCCACCGAAATAAAAACGATAATAATAATAATAGCAACAGCAGTTTAGGAGGAGTGGATAGAAAATAACTTTGTCGAATGGAATAACTAATGCGCGGTGGGGACTACCAGACTTTCGACAAAGAGTATGCAGCAAGGGATTGCTGATTTCGTTTGGCTTTTATCCAATTTGCGCATGAAGACGCCTGCGAATAACTGCCGTAATAATGAACCCACTACCATCCCATGTGTCTAACGGTATGGAGTACCGTTAAACAAAAATTGTGAATTTCCGATACACGCCGTTAGTAGTTGACCCAATCGGTATTGTGAGATACCGATGTGATGCAACTGGATTAATTCGCATAGATAATCTATGGTTTCCTCCATGTGAACATTGGAGATAAAGGACACTACATCTAGTGAAAACGTATTCCGCTCAGGTTGCGTCACTGAGTCGGAAAAGTCAAATGAGTACCTCAGAGTGTATCTGACTAGGGCTTTTCTGACCAGTTCCAGCCGTTTGACAAACCACTTGGACCGGATGATACGGCAAAGATTTGCCGATCCATTTCACCAATGCACTTGACAACATATCATTATTCATCGAATTGGAGTAATTAATGGAATTGGTGTAATGAATACACATGAGCAATATCCGATAAGGTGTCGCCGGTTCTGGGAAATTCGTCCAGGGAAAGGATAGTCACTAATCCGATTCAGATCCTCAATGAGTTCCTTTCGTGCACTCCATCGATTGGCCATTTTGGGATCTGAGGTTTGACCCAACTAGATACAACGTTGTCAAGCGACGGACATCGATGTAGCTAACCCACAGGTGTGCGAACAACACAACCTAGCTTGCGTAAGCGATTCGAGTTCAGTAGACACCAACTGCTGCAGCAGTGGATATGCTGCCGGACACCGCATGATGATCTTCAGCGATGCTTACTTGGTTCTCCCATTAGACATGGCGTTCAAACACCGGCGGAGAACAGTTCTCCGGTCGCACTGCGGTATTTTTAACACCATTGAGCTTACGTGCCATCGTTTCCATAAAAGACAAAGGCTTTAAAAACCGCAGGTCCTTAACAATAACTAGGGCAACAACTTCAGTGGTGCAACTGTCAGAAGTAGCACAGTCACTAAGATAACCGATGAGCAGCTTCGAATGTTTGCTCGATGATAGCAAGAACCGCTTAGAACGTGGTGAATGGGTCTTTACACTTCACACAACGATGTGTCGGAAACAGCGACTGTCGTTTCCACTTGCTCGAAATATTTAGTCCTGTTTTCCGAATTTATTTGTACTGCAATTCAGCCCTGTCTCGCCACCTCTACTTCTTGTGGATATGACGAAAGTCGTGTTTGTGATGCGCTTAATCGTTCGCCTGAGTGACAACCGTACACATTCTTTGTACATGTTTATATTTCACCACGTCCCCAGTGACCGTGTGTGTCTGTGCATAAAGCTTAGTTCGACAACAACCTGAATGTCATTTGGAATGGAGATCAAAGTAGACATTAGGCATGATGCTCGTTGTAAGTCGAATGGCCGTTCGGTGCGCAACCGAATCAGCTCACCTCCTGACCGTGGAAAGCAATGCGGCGTTTGTTCAGTAGTGATGCCTTGAAACGTCAGATGTGGAGTTTGGTCTCGAATTGCTTTTCTGTTGGTGCACATAATTCAAGTGGGCACTGCATTAAGACGAAGCAACATATCAATCGTCCCATGATCGCGTCGTGCTACATTAATTGCCTTATCGGTTAGGTGTATTTGTTAGACAAGTGGTTTCCTGTCTGGTATTTCGGTGGTCATTCGGTGGCACACATACACATCGAACCTGTGAAAGGTAGTTTCGCTTGAATGACCGGGAAACATAGCCGCAGCGACAGCAATTCTGACAATTAGTAGTTTTTTTTACCATTCACGACACTGTCATTTCATTACATGTCTAATATTCATGCATCGAGAAAACTCCAGGTTATCCGGAAGAGCGGTTGAATTTGGGGTTCTCGGGAGTTCCTTCGAAGAAGTAATGGTTAGAGAAACACTTCTTGTGGAAGTTTCTAATAAACACTAGTTGTTTGTTTGTTATTTGTTTTATCGGGAATATTACATGTCCAGAGATTAGCTAAATCCACTGGATCTACTATTGTTTGGCAATAGAGTTCGAGTGGCGGTTTCCGCATTTTATCCCCCGCGGTCGTGTAAATAGACGCAGTTCCGTTGTTTTCGACTAAACAACCGTGATTTGTGCGCCAATGTGCAGTGGATCCAGTAACCCTAAAATGCACCACCAGGGGTAGAGGTTACAAATAACATCTCAATAGTCCCGGGTTCGAGGCCTGCTATCTCCACTTGATGAGATAAAATTGGGTGGAAACGCGTCGTGCAGTGTATTGTTTTCGGACAGACGAGCGACAATCAATGTCTATCTGATTCAGCAGTTACGATCCGAGTGATGGATTTGACCAAGATCCACTTTAATGGGAATCGCGGCCCACACTGAGATTGCGCGTCGCAATCCATTCACACAACGTGTACTTCAAAATGATCATTCAATCACAGTAATGATGATACCAATGGCTAATGATCCAAGCTTCGTGAATACCCCAGACCTGATAAGGTGTCTAAGCACCGATGTAGGCGATAGCCATCTGGAGAGATACAAGTATCAAACCGACTTAGTCTTTTAATGAGTCTCATGCCTTTCTGCCAAATCACCTCGGGGTTTAATCCAGCTAAAAGGAGTGTTTAAAACTACGCGCAGTGGCAGCAGACTGGTCAAGTTGCGGGGCACATTAATGAGCCAACTCAATGAAGTATTAAAGGAAAAAAATAAAATCCTTAAAAAGTCTTGTAGGATGACCAGAACGAGAACCGCAAATGGTGAAAAGAAAGCATAGTGGTAAAAAGAAAAGCGTTTTGGTGGACCCACCAGTGTCTGTAAACAGACAAACGTACCATCAGAACCATGGTAGAAGGGAAAAGAGAATGTAATGTCCAATGAGGAGAGTAAAACGTTACAAAAATGGGATTTTTCAGTTTCACACGCCGTTTTAATTTTTTTTGTTTTCATGTTTTGTTCAAAATTAAAAATTACGTGATGAAGAGATGGTAGAACAGCACTGACGCTATTGACTCCTATTGCGGACCGTATCCTCCAAGACTTCTAACCACTGGGAATCCGCTTCACGTGGTCCCCAGCCTGGGAGACGCACGGATCCAACTGACACTGGACAAGAAGTTAGAATCTTCATGCGAGGCATGTATAAGGATCAACCTCAATTGTGTAGGTTAATGATAGTTGTGCAATGTTCGCCACAGCATATCGTCTGTCGATACCTATACCTCATAATGTAGGTGGGTTAAGGAAACCTCAAGGCGTTTGTAACAGGTAAAGTGGGACTGGAATCAGCGTAATCTGGGAGGGCGTTCGATAACTGGCCGACACGAAGACTCTTCGTCGACATTCTAGCCGGCTGTACTGCGTGGGCAACTTGAACTGGTGGCCCCTCAGATTTGTGTTGTGAGTGAGTTGCGGTGGGTAGCGGCAGACGTGGTTGGAGTTCCTTAGAATCTAGTACGGCACGTGGGCGCCCATACTGACCGCTGTACAATCTTGGAGTCTACAGCCAAAGTTGATATGGAGGGCGAAACAACCCCGTGACGTGGCACTTCGCTGTGGAGTCTGGGGAGCTGCGAGATCTCGCTTGAGCCAGGACTGCCAAGTCTGGATAAGGTATTCCACATGAGGTAGCTAGTATGGGTTAAGCAACTGCGGGCAGACAGATGAATCAAACCGCCCGAACGTCCTCAGTAAACAATCTGATGGGCCATCGAATGGTTTGCTGCCACACAGAAGACAATGAACTTAATGTTATTCAGTTGGTTCTTCCACCACATATGAGAAAGGCTTCGCAGGCAGCGGTGAACAAATTTGGCCTGTTTCTTGACGTCCTCGAAGCACAGCGGCACGTTTTCTGACCCACAAGGTAATACTGGTTACATCACAACTTAGCAAAGCTCCCATTAACCACCAAGCTTAAATGTCGATGTGTCGTAAGTGGCTGATGTTTTGAAAACTCACAGGCCTTAGCAATGCATGCAGTGACCTCTTCGGTGATGAGACTGCCATAAGTGATGCAACTGCCTATACACGTAAAACAATCGAGTATTTCCAGTAGTTGGTAAGTGATAGTGAAAATTGTATTTGCACTTGGAAGATGCAGAACACGTGTCAAAGAGGGCAACGCCACATGCGGTGCTTGCACAGCAGCCAGATGCGATTCTAACATACTTTATATTTGACGATTGGTCGCCATAAAAAACAGATTCGAGAGAAGTGATAATTTCAACCACAGTAGTGGCAAAGATGATAGATAGGAGTATCCTGACGCATTCCACTCATCATAGCGAACTCAACAGAGGGTTCCCGTAAACACTTTCAAGGTCGCAGGAACCGAGATTTTAGAGCATAAAGATAAACGCCACCGCAAACAAGTGTGATCAACGAAATCGAACGCAGCTGGCAAGACAAAAATACTAATGTGATAGACCGACGAGCAGCCACGTGTGCTCCCGGTGGCGTCCGCAAATCGTGATACCGATTGCTTAATGCCTCACGTATACTTTACGGCTGTCCACTATGAATCGCCATTGGACATGGAGTTTACACTCCACACTGGGTCACCGACATTTTGCAAGACTACGCATTATTGCACCTAGACGCCCCTCCATACATTGCGATGCGCAGCAGTGTAAACTCAGTCCTAAAATAAAATGTAACGTCCGCCGTTGTATTCATCAAGTACACTCGTCCTGTTCATATAACTTTTAATCAATTATCTCCCATTTTTCTGAGAAAACCGAACCGCACCATCAAACTGCGGTATCAGAAGAGAAAAAACTCGGGAAAAATGTCGTCTCATTGCAAACTCACTAGACTAAAATACACAATGGTTCAAGGATGAGCTTTGTCATTCTACGCAAGCGAAGCGGAGCACTTGATTGCTTACGTCAGATACAAACATCTACTTTCGACTACTTAAGTGTGGTCGCACCAATTCGGCTGACTTTGTTTCGCCATACTAACCTCGGTATTCACAAGTTGACCAGACAAATCGGCATATCGCATGCACACAACCAATTTATTTACTGGTGACAACCTAACCATCAGTAATAATTGCCAAGAATGCATCATACGCCAAAATGGTGATTACGTAACGAACGTATTCGTGGTACGTATAGACTCTGTAGTTGACAAGAGCAATTAATGTGTTGACGTACTGCCATTTTGTAGTGTACAGCACTATTTATAAAATAGGTAAAGCAGACTGTGCTTACAGCAAATAATAACAGCTCAAACATGACTCATTTTCCAAGAATAAACGTAATTCGATTTCGTCCGAAGGGTAAGGTAATTGGGCCGTTTGAACGCAATATAAGCAACTGGTAATTTTTATCCATAGCAATGTAAAACAAGAGACTCCTGCAATTCGCGTCAAATCGGACCTAAAAGCCCACTCACTCACCCGACGTCGTACAGGCTGCAGTAAGGAAGCGAGAGCGTCCGAATGAACTGCCACACGTCCGAATAGGTCCAATCCAGTAGGGGATTGATGCGCAATATCTGTGGCCACCCAGCATCAGTCATGATCACCGGACTGAGGTGGCCTACAACAAAGGCAAAGAGTGCGATGTAAATGGATTGAAGTGGAAGCTACCAAGGGGATTGATGGGTTCGAGTAACGCGAGAAAACACACTCGTTTATTAGTTACCAAGTTTGGCAGATACCAAAACCGTGCATCAGAAAGCTGCCTCACAGGCCGTACTAAACAATCAGGCTATTTGAATTCGTGCATGGTTCTCAAGTGTTTAGGACTAAGTCAGTTTGATCAGCTGCATCTGATTTAAGATTCCAATCAACTTAAAAAGTTGGAAAGTGGTTCACCAACATAAAGAGCTGATGATTTTGGGCAAATTAAGGTGGAAAAGAGAATGTTAAAGAACCAGAGGTTCGTGTGCTTGGCCGACGGGTGACCGCGTGGACCACCTACTTTTGCACAAACAATGAGGCTAGACGCATTTGGAGATGACTGCTTCCTGCCATTTCACAAGAGGCATGATCCGTGCCCCGTGATTTGGTTGGTCACAGCTAATATGATAACAGATCGGTCAGCTATAAGGAGAGCTTTCCCTCTAACTACGGCTGCCGGCCGCACCGACTGGTGTTAAGTTCCAACACATGGTGCACTTTTTGGTAAAACTAATGATAACCTGGGATATGACGCTGGTTGTCACATCTCTCACGGACTATTACCCCCCAGTTGATGTGGGAGGCGCAACAAGCCCCTGACACTTTTAATCGTTCTTACACGTACAGACCAGACATAAGTAGTGTTATGCGTCTGCTGCGTTAAATGACAAAACCGACACATCAATAGCTGAAAAAATTGAGCAGCTATCGCAACACAAAGGATTCACATATTTCGAACTTGCATTCGCAAGGGACCGCCGTCCTCATTCTCTCTTCTGTTCGCCCCTGTGGTAACCGGAAGCGATTGTACAAATCGAGTTAACTGTGGAAACAACTCACATATCCTACTGAATTCGAAACGTTTAATACGCTGTCAGCAGCAGTTATGCGAAACCGCCATATCGAAAGGACTTGGTCATGTCACAAATGCATGTCAGAAATAGACCACACGTTGAGTAACGAAGCGAAAAGTAACTCACTGGCCCGTGGATCTGATAATCGCGTGCCCATTAACACGCCGCGCACATCCGGGAAGTCTTTAAGTAGTCTATCGAGGGAGGATTTAATATCTCCTTCAAAGACAATTAGTCCGCCATGTGATTTCTCGCGTTTCTCCATGGAACCAGCATTTACTGTAGGTCGCAGTATTGACTTAGATGAGAGTCTGTAAAATTGTAATGTTCGCTGCACAAAGTTTTCGAGTTCGGGGAACACAGACCTTGATCGAATGTAGAGAAGTCTCGGGAATTCGGAAGCCAAGCGTGCCCTGCAACCCGCTTCTGGAGAGTGACCAGCGATTCGACGGAGAAACACGGCGTAGACCAAATGCAGCAACACTGTACAATCCTTGCCTCCATTAAAACCGATAACCATCTCGGATGGACTGCGTGGAGAACAAAAAAAAATTAGCATACTGAGCCAACTATATATATATATATATATATATATATATATATATATATATATATATATATAGCCAACTTAGCTGAATAGTTTATCACAAGAAAACGGGGTGAAGTCACAGAATGGCGCCCACTGTAAGCCGGCGACCGATTTTTAAATCATGCGCCCTTGGTTTGGTGAGTTGCCAAGTGGGGGCCAAATAAATAAATGGCATATTTCTCGATTTCGTGAGAGGTTGATCCCACGCGGGGGGCGGGGAGGCATATCCAATGTGTCACAGATGTTTTGTGCTTTCGCATTAGGTTAAATATCTATGCCCAAGTGCAGAGATTAATATAGGACAGGGGTATGTTTGGATTCACTCATGATAATATAACTTGTCATAAAGGTTGTGATAGAAGTTTCAAATGCCTACACTCAGTTCGTTGCGTTCGGAGATGGCATCAATTGTACATTTCGTTGAATAACCGAAGTTAACCGAAAAGAAACAGTTGTAACCGGTATGTAGATATATCACCAGTAAAAGTTTAGTAAAAGAGGTATGACAACTTTCGGTTAGCAGCTTTGGAATTTCGGAGGCCAGCATCCAGTATGGCTGCACTAAAGACGTGCGGTTTGTCTATAAGAATGTCATACTTCAATATTTTACATTAAGAAAATAACAAGATTAGATACATAAGTGGTGGAGAAGGTTGTAAGTATAAGGGAAGAGATGAACCTGTGAACACCGACCAGGGGAATACACCGCTGTTTTATCCAACACAAATTCATATTGCCCATGCAAGAGCATGGTACTACCTGCACATATTTGATCTGTGCGGTTTGCGAAGCAGCTTGTTAACTTGTTGGAGACATTCGAATAGTGGATATATTTCAGAAACTCTGATTTGCTTATCTTTTGGAACACGGAAGATTGTTTCACCAAGTTATGGGATACATCAAATTCGAAACACTGCAAATGTGACTGGCAAGAAGCTCCTGGCACGAGTTGTGGAAGGATATATATGGTTGGCGGCCTCCGGTTTCGGATTTGCCTATCACTGTGGCCAGCCACAGGACGCCTGCGCATACAAAGGGACCATGGGTGGCTTGCGCTGCACCACCCACAGCTCCATCCACACACCCCATATCCAGTGTAAACCCGAAGGAATAGACCGGGAGGCATGCGGATGGGAGCCACGTTTCATCAACAGAGCCGGCTCACACTCCTTTATATATATATATATATATATATATATATATATATATATATATATATATGGTTGAGGATGACGTGTTTCATTTTTAAAAATGCTTAGCATCACTAGCTGTCCTTCAGTTCCGTTCGGTCTACAGTGTCTTTCAGCTGTATAGCACTTTAACTTGTTCTTAGAAGTTTCATTGAATCACAGTGCTAACCTTATTTTTCGAGCCCAATATCGACTATGTATCATATTTCCACCACGCATTTATTGACTCAAGTTTGAACTCTTCGGCAATTTAAACATTTTTTAACTTTGATTACAATCCCTAGTGCAATTTCATTGCGTTGTAAAGGTATTCTATTACCAAATTTCCCTTCTCTCATGCGATACCTTCAATGGAGTGTTCTCGACACACCAAACAGCTATCATCCTAGTCTGAAGCCTCCAAAGTGTCGATAAAAATTGTAATCTGTCTGTAAATTAACCTTCCAGTTATCACACTTCAAATTTCTGTAAAGCTTGACCTGTCCCATGTGAGAAACCGTAATTATTATTAAACCTTCACAGTGGACGGTACTACTTACTCCTGGACTGAATGAGGTGGAGCCACTGGAATCGGTGGATTGGTCGTCTATCCAAGCTAGTGTGTCGTTCTTGAAGTCTATCGAAGAAGACACTACATGTGTCGACAGGACTCGTGTGCTGTACAAGTTTTACCCAACTCCTACTCATGGAAACAGTTTTCCATCGACTTATCGGTCAACAGTGGACATGTTAAAACAGTGAGCCGCATCGCTGATTGTAGGGAAATGTTCGTCTCTGTTAAACCATCAACTGCGGAGCGTTGTTCATACCTGGGGGAGCATCAAGGGAAGAATGCTGAAATCCAACAATTGTCATAGAGCAGGGTACCTACTCGAGCCTGTCACGGCGAGTGCTGTTTACAGCTGCTACGCCTTTTGGGGTTAGTCCCAAAAGTGATCAGTCCATGGCATGGAAATATAGTATAAAGAGACTGCAGACTGAGCCACGTCGATGTATGCAGTTTTCCTAAACGAGTGTCTCGAAATCAATCACATCATTTGTTGGGCACATTGGCATTACGAAGTAGTCAGTTAATTATCTCTACATCTCAATAACACAACTCATGGTACATGAAGAGTTGCCCTGATTTGCAATGCGATGCGATGATGGTATCTACACGAGGAACATCGCATCGGAAACCGGACGTGTCTACACGTGGGTGACAAATGAAATGGTCGCTCAGTTTCGTCTCAATATTATACGAAGGTAAGATTTATGCATTCAAAATTGGCGCAATCATGAGATAGGAAAGGAAAGCACCATCATTTTTGGGAATAAAAATGCCCCTAGATTCGATCGACACAACAAAAGATATTGCTTGGTCGGATTCCACCGACGTAGAAGAAGTTCAATGCTTTCACCATGCGTTCACTCACTCCTTTGAAATGGGGATCAGTGGTGTGGTGGTTCCCATGTTCAGCACACACAAACCACATGTGCCGGGTTCGAGTTTCCATTCCCGAAGTATCCCAGTCCACAGCTATATGTCAGTGAAACAATAGTGAACCACTAGTACACAGACTGCAGATATAATGCAGATCTGGCGGAAACACTAGACTGTCTCTTGAATAACCGTTCAGAAATCGACTGGCCTACACTGCACGGCTTCAAGCAGCACGGTGTGAAGACGAGTCTGGCGGACACGCCGACACTGGATGAGACGCAGAGAGCACTTGCTCAGCTGCGAAACGGCAAGTGTGCTGGGGCCGACGGGATCCCGCCTGAAGTATTGAAACACGGCGGACCCGCGTTGTTGACTGCGCTGCACCACTTGGTGCAACGCGCATGGATTAAGGAAGAGGTGCTTGCTGAAGTGAAAGATGCCCTTGTGCTACCGCTGTACAAGAGCAAAAGAGAGCAAGCATTGTTGCGCGAATCATCGCGGCATCAACTTGCTGAGTTGTGTGGGCAAGCTGACTGCCCGAATCCTGCTCAACCGCCTCGACAGTCAGGTTGTGGAACCGAACATGGCGGAAGAGCAGTGTGGATTCCGCTCGGGTCGCAGCACTATAGTTACGGTGTTTGCGGCTCGTCAGTTGCAAGAGAAGTGCAGAGAACGACACCAGCCGTTGTACTCGCTTTTTATTGGTTCCAAAAAGGCATTTGATACAGTGAACCGCAAGGCATTGTGGCTGGTGTTGGGTAAGTCTGGTTGCCCGCGTAAGTTTGTAAGTTTAAGTAAATGTCTGCACAGTGGTATGCGGGTGATGGAGCAGCTGAGTGGAGAGACCTCGGATGACTTTGCAGTTATCTCTGGTGTGAAGCAAGGCCGTGTCTTAGCTTTCGCCCAGTTTAACATTTATCTTCATGCGATGATGTCTTGTGCTTCTGATGCCACTTGTGTTTGCGGTGTTCGTGTGGAGCACCGTATTGATGGTGGGTTGCTGAACATCCGTCGTTTCGATGCGAGAACTCTAGTCTGTGAGACAACTATCCGTATGTTGCTGTTTGCTGACGACTGTGCGTTGTTTTCACACAGTGCGGATGAGACGCAGCACATGACTAGTGCTCTGGCTTCGACAGCGGCCAAATTCGGGCTCACCATCAACACAAGCAAAACTGTCTGCCTCTTTCAGCCTTCACCGGAGGTGCAATCTTCAATATTGACGCGAATCGGTATTGGTGCTGAAGTATTGGAAAACACCTTCCGCTTCTGCTACCTTGGGAGTGTGATGTCGACTGATCAGCAGATACACAGTGAGCTGCGTATCCGCGTGTCGAAGGCAACGGCGGCATTCGGTAAGCTTGAATGCCGAGTGTGGAACAACCATCAGCTTACCATTGGCACGAAGCTGCTGGTGTACAAATCCATGGTGCTGTCCATCCTTCTACACGACAGGGAAACGTGGACAATGTACCGCCGAGATGTGCGATATCTAGAGCGGTTCCATCAGCAGTATTTGTGACGGATTTTGCGCATCGGTTGGGGAGAAAGAGTTGCTGACAGGAAGTGTTGCGACAAAGTGGGATGTATGCAGTGGACTACATTCTCATGCTAAGAAACCTGAGGTGGCTCGGTCATGTGAGCCGTATGAATTCGACCCGGATACCGAAGCAGCTATTATATGGTCAGCTGAGTGTGGGGAAGCGGCATGTGGGGAAACCAAAGTTACGTTACCAGGACATGATCAAAGTGAGCCTCTCACGTTCCAATCTTGATTGCAGGTCATGGGGATCGAAGGCGGTTGATCGGCGTGCATCACGTGCATCGGCGCGATCTAATCACGAAGGCAGTTGCCGAAGTGCTGAAGAAAGACCTCATACATGCAGAGAAGAATCGGCAAGTGCGGAAGCGGCAAGCACCGATGGGTTGTATTCCATCGACATCGAGTGCATGGTGCTGTGGCACATGCGGTCGCGAGTGCATGAGTCAGGTAGGCCTAGTGAGCCATGAGCGAGACCACTCGGGACCACTACCGAAGCGACGATAGGTCCTGCAGAGAACATAGGCAGAACCGGCGCAGTGTTTGTAGGTACGCTGCATTCGATTTACTAACCGCGTGCTTACATGCGAAGTCTATTTATTTCAGGTGGTGGGTTTTCAATTTTGTCCTAATGCTTTCCTTTTTCATATAAATGTCTACCTGTACTCTCTTCTATAAACTTGCACACGTCGCTTAAGCCAATAACATTTTCGTGTTTGTGGCATTTCCGTAAAATATATTTTTGACCTCGTGAACTTATCTCGGATTCTTTTGTGAACAACTTATTTCATATGTTCATTATTTTAAGATTTATGTCACCGTTTTCTTAGGCATTACTCGATTTATTTTCGTTGTTATCTTTCTCTCAAGTGATTGGCTGTTGCTTGATATCCCCGATGTAGCAGCGCTTGATGTGCATGTTGACAAGGTGCCTACCTGTCTATTACCCACTACCTCGTCCATATTGGCTCTAGGAGACAGTTGGTCGTTGCTGGAGGGGACGGGGTGCACGGTCCTTGTGGCCGTGCTAGCCTCGAAGAACGGTTCCATGCACTCAGTGTGGAGCGGACTACGGTCCAACCACCGCCTTATGTGCGCTTGATTTCCCAAATACAGCGTGCTTGTGTTTGTCTGTGAAGGAGTGTGGGCCGGTCCGTTGTTGAAACGTGGCTCCGATCCACATGCCTCTCGGTCTTATTCCTTCGCGTTCACACTGGATATGGGGTGTGTGGGTGGTGCAGCGCAAGCCACCCATGGTCCCTCTATAGGCGCAGGCGTCTTGTGGCTGTCTTGCGTAGGCTACAATGACAAGCAAATCCGGAACCGCATGCCGCCAATCATACCATGTGACGCATGCGAACCAAGAGGGTCAAACAACGTATAAACAGGTGCAGTATTCAGTTGATAAAATACGATCCGCGCAAAGAAGTACGGTGGATCCAGTTGCTTCGACTTAGGCCATCACGACTTGGGTAACTAATCATGACGGAAAAGATTGTAGAGAAGGACAGGAAGAATATACAAGTTATAACCGTCGGATGGAAGAGTAAGTATTGGCATCAATGGGACGAATGCAGAAGCGCCGCTAACTACCTGGCTATGCCGTTTGGTAGAAGCTCTAGGCATTGATGAGACCGATCCCGAGAACACAATGCGCAATGTCTTCTCACCGATCCTCTCATGTACTTTGCGATGTCATCGGCTGATACCACAGGAATTCCATCCAACTGGATGCAGCATTGACAAGAATACAAATGAGAGTGTGAGGCCGCAAGTCGTGCGAGGGACATAACTAAATCAATGTAGAATTATTCACTTCAACAGAAATTCCAGGACAACAACAGAGGGCCTGGTGTCAACCATTAAGGTTATAAATTCGGGTGGTTCCGATAGATATGAGCAAAGCTTTGCGAATATCGGTGACAACCTGAAAATGCAACATAACAAGGGCGATTGACATGTACCAAGGGGGAACTTACGTAAATCGATGGAATATATCTTCGATGATCTTGATAGAAGTGGCCACACATCTGCTCAGTCTATCGTGTTCGACATCGGACGCCAGCGCATATACAGCACTAGAAGCCTTCGTTACGGGGTCCGGTACATATGATATCAAGTCTAAGGAACGATGAGGCCGGTGAAAAGATTTGAAGCGGAAATCGAGCCCGAAAAATCTGGCAATGTTTTACAAATGCTGCAAGACGTACGATCTTTCAGGTGCTCGAATGCCTCCTGATAAGCAGATTGAAGCGCTGATTCAGACATGGAATCTAGAGCCACGCGAACTTTGTAATAGCTGTGGAGAGGATAAAATGAGTCCTAATGAACAAAAGGCATATTGCAAACAAAAACAATTGGATGAAAACAACCGCCGACCTATTCCAGTTTCATGCTGGTTTACCAGTCATACACGCGCGCACCATTGCTGATGATGAGGTTACGAAGAGGAAGAAGGAGTATTTTGGGGATTAGCAAAAAAATCTAGAGAACTTGCAATCAGCTGATCAGGCTCAAAATGTACATAATTTGAAAGCAATATGCAGCCACAACTAAGTGGCTGCGTGAATATTAAGGTTGATGTGAACAAGACGACCGGATGCGTCTCCCGCAACCACAACTCATTAATAGGTATCAACAAATTGATAATTCGGCAGTGGCGTGTAAATATAAGATAGGTGGACAGGTCACTAGAGAACAGTTCCATTCAGTTAAACAATCATGGTTCCAGTACCGAAGTGAGGTGGATCACGCTGACACGGTTGATACAGTTATGTTGTAGGAAAATGAGATAGAATGCTAGTAGAATACAAAGAGGGTTAGGGATAGATGGCCGAGTAAAATCAATCGGGTTGGAAGGCTAACGGCTGGATGAAAGGGAAGGAATATAGGGACGCCATTGAGTCTACAACCACGTCATCTCAGATACGATCAACAACCATCCCGAGATCCACATTAGATATGGGGTGCGTCCGCCTGAACAATTCTTTTTGTCAGTTCCATCAAGTCTTTCTATCGGGTCACTGACTGGGCCTTCTGCGGATTCGCTTAACTAGGCACAGCGGCAATAAACAAAGCACGTCGCAGCAGATGATTTGTTCAACGTAAGTGGTGCAAGTGCGGCACTGGAATGTTTCTTCCAAAATGGCTGCAATCAAGTTGCCAAGCTCGGCGAACAACACAACTGAGCAATCCTTCCGAGTAACTAGTGGTTCAAATAATTTTGAACACCAATTCGTGGACTCCAAGATCGCTCACTCGGTTTTTGCACCAGATATGAGCAATACTCCGCAAACACCGGTGATTAAGGATGACCAGCTTCGGCACTGAATAGTCGCGTGATTTAGACGGCGAATCCTAGTACGCCCAAATGGGAAATGATAGACGGTCTCCAAAGATGAATGCGACACCGGAAGACACAACTGCCTCTAAAACGCCTGACTACTTAGACTAAATGTCCACTGGTAACCGGAGTTAGTGGTGCGTCGAGCCGGTGTTATGTTAGCATGTTGTATGCCACAAGCACCGAGGTGTGTACAGAGTGGCTGCTGCAATTAAAAGATGAGCCAGTGACCCTATACTAGTTAGTGCCTTCAACTCTCGTTTCATGGGGAGTAGCTATCTATACAGAGCCACTAAGATACCATAACTCCAGTTGGTGAGTACCATGACTGGCCCATATGTTTTTGATGCAAATTTGCGCAGTAGCACCAGGTCAGGACTCTTTATAACACAACTTGGTAAGACCGACAACTTGTAGACAAAGATCAGGAGTTACAAGTTTTGACAACTGTGGAGCCCGCTAGCAAAGGACTTCTGATCTCATGCGTGTAAAGAGAGGCAGCGTTGTTCGATGGAAGTGAAATATCCTTTCAACGATGCAAGTGCATAACGGTGAATAAAGGGAAGGGTAATCTTCGAAACCAAGAGAATTATTCAATCTAAATGGTGCACTGATGCATGGTAGCATAAACGGCTCCGCGCTCTATTAGTGGGAACACGATCGATGCATTAGCAAACGAAACCATCCACAGACTGAGAGACGCTTCCGACGACTTGGAGTATGAAAATATTGTTGGCACCATCGTCCATGTGTCAAGGACGACCACTTTTATGTTAGATCATCGGGAATCTAAATGGCATTTGCTGATTCATGATACTCAACGAGGTCAGATAAATCAACTTAGCTGGTTGTGTGCTTGGATACAAGCTAACTGTTTCCGGCCAATACGCCGACGTAGGATGGGTTTATGTGCAAAATATATCAGATTCACTGCCGCGAAATGAAAAGAAAATAACGAACGCCATCTGTAGCCAATGATCAATGCTAAGAAGGCGTAAAATTGTCCACCCAAGGAAGCCGACGCAGATGGCGCGAGTGAAGCGCTCCCAATGTGACTTTCAAAAATCTGAGTTCGGAGTTAATGACGTCTAATGTTTTGGAAAGTCAACCAGATGCAATGCGTGTAAGTAAATTAATTTATCGCTTGAAATAAGAGGTAGAGGGTGAGAATACGCGCTGGGGTATGAATCAAGTAGCAGAGTGTCCGAAGACTAGTTGGACTCAAAGATGGAATACTTGAGAAGCATATCCGAGGCTGATACAAGTAGAACCTGTCTATTCATTGCACTATCATTCGCATAGCAAGCGATGATGGCAGACGAAGAGAGTTAATTCATAACAAGAAAACACAGTGCTTGACGTGAGCGGCAACTTTGATAAAACAGTCACCATTCCTCATTGATCCCTTTCATCCGGAAATGGTAAGTCTTATCATCACAATTCTAGTCACACTAAGCCCTGTGCATTCTGTAGAAACTCCTTACACACATACATCGAGTCCCAGCGGCAAAGGACCACGTGAGTACGAAGCTAGGGTTATCGCACACGAATGGTATTTCGGAGTTAACGATCCGAAACCAATGGAGGAGATTTTGATGCCTTTTTAGTTGGTTCGTCAGAGATGAATTCAAGCAGAAAGTCGCCACACGCGTTGAACAGCGGGTACGCCCTGTCCTCGGTAGCGCGCAGCCCACCCCCGCAAAAGCAGAGGGCATTTGAACACGTGGCTATTAACCCACGATGTTGTAGCCTAAGCCACCTCAGGACAAACTTGATTGTTTATATAAACTCCGAAGTATACAACTATTAGTTGCTGACATTTTCGAGCAAGAATAAAAAACAGGGCACAAATGTGAACTAGACGGTGAAAACGGACATGGCGCGCGTATGGACGGCATACAGGTGGTGACACTTGCCTGTTGTTGAATGTGGGGTAGGAGCCCACACCGACTTCTTCCCTGTATTTGTCGGCCAACGACGAGAGGAAAGCAGCAATCACTGTCTCTCCCTGAGTCACATACAGAGAACGGCTGTGGAAGCAAATCCGTCGATCGCGCAAGTGCTCCTGTATAGATGGGGAAGGGAAATACGCAAGATACAACGCAAGTGACCGTCAGACGTGTCAGAGAAATTCCATGGGATCGATCGTCAAATAGGTGTTATTGATGTGAATATTAGGTCTGAAATCAGTAAAATGTGATTAAAATTTTATGAACTAGTTGAAACTTGACGTGAGTTACTTGGAAGATGACCGTCCTCCGTTAAATAATTCTTGAAACTCCAGAATGTCTTTTTCAAATGAATGTAGTACTGATGACGACGGAATGGACATATATATTTGCATCTGGAGTGTACAGGAAATAGGTGTTACAATAATCAGATTGCAGGCGGTACGAGCGGAAGTCGGTACCACACCGACACGTTGCAATGGTACCTGACTAACATGCAACGGTCTCGCGCGAACCATGACACTGCAGGAGAAGCTAAAAGCAGGCAAGAGCGGGACGTCGAACCTGAAGCGACAGAGGCCTGAACGACCAACACATCACGGTTAAGATGGAACGGTAATCAACTGCTCCAAATAACATCAGTCCTTTGTATTTCATGAGCATTTACTTCCCAATAACCACCTTGATTCGTAAAATAAGTGCGGTCCCTCTAGTCTTCTAAAATGGAGTCCACTATTGTGCGCTGAGGCTGGTCGTGGCTAGATCCTGACAGATGGTCTACCCACTGCTGCTACTGTTGCGCCATTGGCTCATGTCCTGTACGCCCCCCTAATGGCGACCGTTGGGTGGGAGTTGGGTTACGCCCTTCTCCCTGCTAAGATCAAGGACACCAATCCGTATGAGTCAGTGAACTGACCATGTGCTAGACCCGCTGCCTTTCGGGAGTACATTTAATCGAAGACTTTGGCTGAGGACCCGAGTCGTTCTCCTGTCAGGTGTGGGCGCCCTGCCAGTATCCTAGTCAATCCTCTTCCGAGGTTAGGAAGTGGTCGATGGCCCTCTTCCCGTAAAACCTACCCATGACAGACAACAGGTCTACGGGTTATAAGCTCACCGCTAGATTGGCGTAGAGGACGAGCGTCACGCATTGTCTCTGACGGTGGGAGGGCACCTCCGGGTGTTCAATGGTTTGCTACTGCCCGCCTCAAGCCAGGCAGCACCTGGTCAAATTGGTGCAAACCTGCTAAAACTCTCCTGCGTCTGACCGTGGTCGCAGATGCGGATCACACCACGGTCCCAAAATATATATATGAATAATTCCAGAACTCTAAAGGCTGCGCGTGACGGCCGTCAAGCAGATCACAATCTGTCTCTGCAATCACATTCCCGAGCTGGATCTGCTCCGCACTGCCTTGTGGGTCAGGCTATTGAGCCAAAGGCTCCGGGCGGAGTCCCTCAAGCAAACCTCCGAAGCATAACTGCCACCTCGCGTGCGATTGCCCACCAATACAATCGTATACCTTCGCGCCAAGCACTCAATATCGGGTGCTGGAACGTGTGCACACCACTGGAACGGAACTCGAGTGAGCGCCCCGAGCGACGGATTACACTGGTCGCGAAGGAACTAGCGCGCTCCAACATCGACATTCCGGAGCTCAGTGAAACCCGGTTCGCTGAGCAAGGTAAGTTGCATGAAGCAGGTACTAGCTACACATTCTACTGGGTGGGCAACGCCACCTCAGCACCACGTGAACACGGGGTCGGATTTGCAACATCCGATCGCCTCCATGGCCAGCTGGTGGGTGAACCAACAGGCATCAGCGCGCGACTGACGACTGTTCGCCTACGACTCGGAAGAGGTAAGTTTGCTACTTTTGTAAGCACGTACGGTCCGACCATGTGTTATCCTGATGACACGCGTGATCCATTCTACACTCAGTTATCCTCCGTGTTACGGTCTGTGTCGAGGAGCGATCGACGATTTCCGCTGGCTGGTTTCAACGCGCGCCTTGGGCGTTATACATCGGTGTGGACAGATGTTATCGGTCCGCATGGCATTGGTTCTGCGAATGCGAACGGTGACAGGCTGCTCTCACTGTGTGCCACTCACGGCCTGACGATCACGAACACTCCGTTTGCACTGAGTGCGAGAGACATAGCAACTTGGACGCACCCACGGAGTGGTCACGCTCACCTGCTCGACTACGTCATCGTAGGTCAGCGCGACATGCGTGAAATGCGCATGTGACGTGTACTGCGTGGAGTCGAGTGCGGCACTGATCACAAAATGGTGCGAACCAAGATGTATACATATTTTAGTAAATCTATGGATTGCACTCCTGCCGTGAATCCGCGCAAATTTATCATTCTCTCCCTCAGTACTGTGAAGAAACGTATTGAGCTGGAGAAGGCGATGGCTGCACGCCTGTGTGATGTGGAATGCATAGTCACAGTGGGTGATCTGTGGCACCACATTCGTGACCAGTGACAGCTGCTACCGAGGAGACCATCGGGCGCGCAAACTGTAAGCGGCCTTATTGGTTTGATGAGAACAATGCGACGATTGACACATTGGTGTCGGGGAAGAACACAGCATTTGCTGCACATGTAGCATACCCCAGTGAGTTGGAGAAAAAAAGAAAGTTTAGCAGAATTCGACGGCGAATGACCCGAGAGCTCCGTCGCATTAAAAATACATGGTGGACGGAGAAGGCGAAATAGATACAATGCTACGCCGAACGCCGCCAACATAAGGAATTTTTTGACTTCTTGAAGGCGGTGTATGGACCGAGATTGGAGCCGCTGAGGACGCTGATCGATGGTAGTTCTGGGTCTACCTGCACACAGACTGCAGACATAATGTAGATCTGGCAAAAACACTGACTGTCAGAGATTGACTAGCCTACACTGAACGGCCTCAACCAGCACGATGTGAAGGCGATTCTGGCGGACGCGCCGACACTAGATGAAACGCAGAGAGCACTCGTGGACTTGCGGAACGGCAAATGTACCGGTGCCGACGGGATTAGGCCTGAAGTATTGAAACACGGCGGACCTGCGTTGGTGATTGCGCTGCACCACTTGGCGAAACGCGTGACAATTAAGGAAGGAGTGTCTCCAGAGCTGAAATATGCACGAACGATAGTGACATCAACTTACTGAGTTTTGTGGAAAAGGTGGTTGCCCGAATCCGGCTCAACAACCGCGTCAGTCAGGTTGTGGAACCGAACGTTGTGGAAAAACAGTGTGGATTCCGCTCGGGTCGCAGCACTATAGATATGGTGTTTGTGGCTCGTCAGTTTCAGGAGAAGCACAAAGAACGACAGAAGTAATTGCACTCTTGGAGTTTGTTGATTTCACCAAGGTATTTGATACAGTGAACCGCGAGGCATTTTTGTTAGCGTTCCTTAAGTTTAGCTGACCGAGTAAGTTTGTAAGTTTAAGTAAATGTCTGCACAGTGGTATACGGGTGATGGCGCAACTGAGTGGAGAGACCTCGGATGACTTTGCAGTTATGTCTGGTGTGAAGCAAAGCTGTGTCTTGGCTCGCGCCCAGTTTAACATTTATCTTGATGCAATGATGTGCTTTTGATGCCGCTTGTGCTTACAGTGTTCGTGGGTTGCTGAACATCCGTCGTTTCGATGCGAGAACTCTGTCTGTCTGTGAGACAACTATCCGTATGTTGCTGTTTGCTGACGACTGTGCGTTGTTTGCACACAGTGCGGATGAGTTGCAGCACATTACTAGTGCTCTGGCTTCGACATCGGCCAAATTCGGGCTCACCATCAACACAAGCAAAACTGTGTCTCTTTCAGCTTTCACCAGAGGTGCAATCTTCAATACTGCCGCGAATCAGTATTGGTGCTGAATTATTGGAAAACACCTTCCGCTTCTGCTACGTTGGGAGTGTGATGTCGACTGATCAGCAGATAAACAGTGAGCTGCGTATCCGCGTGTCGAAGGCAACGGCGGCATTCGGGAAGCTTGAGTACCGAGTGTGGAACAACCATCAGCTTACCATTGGCACGAAGCTGATGGTGTACAAATCCATGGCGCAGTCCGTTTTTCTACGCGGCAGCGAATGGTGGACGATGTACCGACACACTCGCGTATGTAGCATTTTCTTGAAATATATTCTCTGACGTTTTGAACCTTTCGCGGAGTTGTTGGTAAACAGTTTATTTCATGTGCTCATTTAGTGATAAGCAGTGTCACCATATCTGTATGCATTATTCGATTTATTTGATTTCATCTTGTCGTTTCAAGTGATTGGCTGTTGCTTGATATCCTCGGTGTGGTTGCGCTTGATGTGAAGGGTAACAAGGTACCTACCTGTCTATTACCCACTACCTCGTTCATACTGGCTCTAGGAGACAGTTGGTCGTTGCTGGAGGAGACAGGGTGCACAGTCCTTGTGGCCGTGCTAGCCTCGAAGAACGGTTCCATGCACTCAGTGTGGAGCGGACTACGGTCCAGCCACCGTCTTGTGCGCGCTTGATTTCCCAAATCCAGCGTACTTGGGTTTGCCTGTGAAGGAGTGTGGGCCGGCTCCGTCGATGAAACGTGGCTCCCATCTGCATGCCTCCCGGTCTTATTCCTTCGGGTTTACACTGGATATGGGGTGTGTGGTTGGAGCTATGGGTGGTGCAGCGCAAGCCATTCACGGTCCCTGTGTAGGCGCAGGCCTCCCGTGGCTAGACACAGTGACAGGCTTATCCGAAACCGGGTGTCGCTATCCGTATCTAAGTCAAAACACCATACTGAATGGGTCAGAACTAGCAGTTTTAACGTGTCTGTTGTCGTCCCTGGTTGGGTTATCTATTTGCATGATACAAAATCAGCCGTGGAATGAGATTGATTATGGGCACGGTAAAAGGCACCATATTGGCACGCCGGCGCGCGCTGATGCCCCGACGCCACGTGACCATTACCAGTCAGTCGCGTGTGGGGGCTGGGAATACTACAAAATCATCTGCACCCCCAACCAAACTCGAGCCGGAGTGATCTATGGACTGAGAGCCAGACGCCGGAGCCACTAACTCGTCACTGGCTAAAGTTGGCTATCTTGCGGAGTAGTGAGAGTTGTAAGGAAGCGCTATTTCCCCAAGAGCATCC